GGGAAGCCAGGAGGTTTCGTGATTCATTCACTCTGACATCAATGTGGCTCATGGATGGATCCAGGGTGGATCCTGGAAGCATCTTTCTAAGGAAAGTTTTGGACAATGACGTCCCAGATTGTGACAATGGATGATGCCATGTGGGACAACCTGTGCTGCTCTTTCCTGCCTCCTCCCCATGTGAGGTTTCCTCACTGGAAATGATCCATCAAAAGCTGCTACAGGGAAAGGGCTTGCTGCTAAGGAAAGAAGAGCTCAGCCTCTACTTCTTTGAGGTTTTAAGAGCAAAATGCACCTGCAGATGCAGGCTGTGGACAGCTCTCCTTTGCTTGTTTTAAACCTCTGGGAAACACCCCAGAGAAATCCAAGGTGTTCATCCTGGGGCACAGTTCCTCAGGACAGTTATGTGCTGAACATAACAACATCCTTGGGGCAGGGAGCCTCGAGATACCAGATTTCTTTTGGGTTTGTCTGTAGCTCTTTGGCACATGGTCAACTCCCCAAAACAGGGGTTTTCTCCGTGCCCCACCTTCACAGCCAGGTAATTCCTCATGGGAGGCATCAGGAACCACCTGGTGCTGCCCCCTCGGCTCTGCCCAAGCAGGGCAGCAGCGGGGCCCCATCCTGGCTCCTTGACGTCAGTGGTTTTCCCCTGGCAGCGCCCGGCGTGTGCAGGCACAGACCTGGAGCTGTGCTCAGCCCTGCCCACGCCTCTGGCACCAGCACCGCTGCTTTTCCATCTCCATTCCCTCCTGCCCAGCCGCAGGGCATGGGGACACGGAGCTGTCCCTGCTCCCCACCGGCTCTGGCGGTCACCGGTGCTTCCAAGCATGATGCGACTTCCCTGGAGCCTTGCACTTTCAGACCGTGAAAGTCATAACTGTGAGGTCTAGAAAACAAAAGGTCCTTTCTCAATGAGAGGAGGCTGATTAACACCCCCTCGGGGGAACCAAAGGGCCTCGTCACCCTTCTGAGTAAATATGTTTTGTTATTCCCTGCACAGGGTGACTCACCTGGCGAGGAAGCCAAAGCTGTGAGGTCCCTGCAGCTGCACGTGGCTGGTCCAGGAACCCCAGGGCAGCAGGTCCGGGGGAGGTGTGAGGAGCTGTGCCTGCCCCAGCCTCTCCTCGGGTCCCCAAACACCGAGGGGCTCAACCCCCCCAGTGCTGAGTGCTGAGCAGGGCTGGACACGGCGCCCACCAGCTCCCACACCCGAGGGAGGGGCTGGTTTAGCTGGGGAATCTCTGGGGGTGTTTGGACACGGCAACAGGACCCAGTTAGAGACCCTTGGGGGTGTTTGGGATCTTCTCTCCTGCCCTGTGCCACTGCTCGAGCACAAGGCAGGTCAGGAACCCCTCAGAGGGTTCCCTGAGAGCTGCCCAGGCCTGTTCTGTACCAGCTGTGCCATCAATCCCCAGAATGTCATCGCCCTTTGTGGCTTTTTCAGCCAGGTATTGCAGCACTTAACATGTTTTTCTTTTTCTTTTTCTTTTTTTTAAGGCCCCAGAGGAAGGAGGAACACTGCAGGAGGGAGGAGAAGGAAGGAGGAAAATAGAATCAGTCTGCTTTCTGCACAGATTTACTGCTCGATCAACTTCCCACGGCACTTCTGGGGTTCTGGACACGGTGTCACTTTGTTTCACCTGTGTCAAGACTTCTGGAAGGTTTTCAGAGCTGGTAGCAGGAGAGAGTTGGTGTCAGTGGCAACTCGGGACACGGGGCAGAGCAGCTGCTTGGGCCAATTCACGCGTTTTATTTGTTCTTTTTTTAGCTGTCAGGTTAATACTTTGTCCTTTATGAGCACATCCTGGGCAGGGCCATGCCTGGAGAAATCTGCTCTGCACAGACAGGTCGGGTTTAGCCAAGGAAAGAAGAGGAGGTGCCTTCAGAGGGGTCACAGACAGCTCTGCCACGGCCGCTGCCAAGAGAGGTTCCCGCAGTGAAGGACCTGGAGGACAATCCCTTGTTCCAGCCCTTCTGCATGGCCAGAACATTTCAGGTCCAAGGCCTCCCACCTTGCAGCCCCTGGCTCACCTCCCCTCACACAGGAACCAAGCCCTCAGTTCCAAGAAGAGGTGACAAAGAGAGGGATGTTTCATCCTTTTCTCCTCGCTTGCACAGGTGCATTCCAGGGAAGTACTCCCGAGTCTTATTCATAACCAATATTTGTTCTTCTGGAAATGTTCTTTTATGTTGGGTCCCTCGTTGGTGTCTGGGCATTTATTTTGCTCAAAACCCAGAAACAAGGCACCACACATTTGCAACCCTGCAGGAGGGACTCTGTGGCTCTCTGCCTCTCTTGTTATTCCCCCAGCCTGTCCCGTGGCCGCTCCAGTTTTCCTTGGCCATCTCCAGCTGTGAGCAGAGTGCTCTCCCCCACTCAGTGTCTCCCTCCTCCCCATTTCCCTCTGCTTCCTCCTGGAAACAGAAAAGTGGCATTAACTTGCTGCTGACCACCCCATCCCATCAAGGCTACCATGGTCTTGCACACCTGTGTCACCATTTATAAAGTTTAGGGATGTGTTGTTTGTTAGTAATGTTTGGGGCCTTCAGGGTGGGAAAATACAGGATGATGCAGAGGCTTGTTCCTGGTGGGATTTTCACTGCAGGCTAAGTTCACCTGCACAGGTGAACTGACTGGCATGTTGTTCTCACAGGCATTGCTGCTTCAGTCCAAAACCTCTGCAGTAAATTCAGTGTAACCTGGGTTCTAACTGGGGTAACAAAGCCCTGATGGAATATTTTTACACCTGTGTGACACAGATTCAGGGGCAGGGCAGAACACCCTGCTGCATGGACAGCCCTCCCTGCACCCCATTCATTTTTCCCTGCTGATCTTCTGTGGATACAGAGAGCACAAAGAAAATGTAACAGCTTGGCCAAAGAGCTACTGAACTCCTTGGCCTCACTGCAGAACCAGCAACGCCAAAGCCAGAGGTAAATTATGTTTTTTTCTGAGGGGTCTTGTGATATCTCTGCATTTGCTTCAGTACTGGGGAGGAGTTTGACAGCCCTGCTACAAACAAACCATTTTCTATAGCAGCTGCTCCCCCAGGCTATCTCCTCATGCCTTGCACAACACAGACAGAAAAGCAGAGAGAAAAGACAGAAAAGCAACGTTAGGGCAGAGCAAGAATTGCAATTTGGCTTCCTAAGTGCCAATAGCAGCAACAGCAACAGGACACAGAGGCCTCTTCAGCCTGGGGCCAGCACTGGATGTGAGCACACAGCAAACAGCTTTGCACTGATTTCTGGGTTCTGGACGTGTTGATGTCAGCAGAAGGTGACAGTGGAAGGTGACAGTGGAGGTGTCAGTGCCTTCCTCTGGGGAGGCCACTCTGGCTCCACAGGTGAGTCCCATCCAATTCCCACCTCCATGAGCCAGGTGCTGGCTGGAGCTGGGCACTGGGAGGGCGTGGCACAGCACAGGGTCACTTTGGGGTGATTTTTCCAAAGAAGGTGCCTAGCCCTAAACACATTTTATCCTTCTGAGCTTCCCAGGGATGTGAACAGAGTCAAAGCCTGTGCTCAGAGCTGGCTGCAAGCAGGACCAGAGCATGGAGACCCCCTTGTTCTACTGCCAAAACCTTCCTCTTCCCCCAGCCTTGGTGCTTCCCTGTCTTTTATCAGCACCCGAGCACCCCAGGACAGAGAAACTGCCCAGCTTGAGGGACCCAACCCAACATTAGTCCCCTTTGGCCCCCTCCAGCTGGAGTCAGGCTGATGTGTGTGTGATACTGAACATCCTCAGGTTAGAAATTCCATCTGTCAAGGATGTCATCCAGGTGAATTTTACCAGCCAGGAAAAGGAAAGCTGCCAGGAAATCACTCCCACTGCAATCCCACAGCCATCACAGATGGCAAGGGGTTGTGCTGGTCATGTCAAACTGTTTGCCCAGGGATGTAAGGACAGGAAAAAACAATGGCTGGTAATAAATGAAATGCTGGAAAGATTGTAAAGTGAAACGAAGGAATTTAAGGCAGGGAGTTTATATGGCCTATTTCCTGATAAAATCAGACGTTCCAAAGTGTCCCTTCACAGTGTGGCAAGACTGCAGTGAGCCCGAGGCATTTATGGGCAGCAGAATAGGCAGTTTCCCTGAAAAAGGATATTTCAGAGACATGGTTTTAAAGGTTGCTCCATGGCTCTATGCCCACTGACACTAGAAGAAACCCTTGAGCCAAAATGCACAGCAATCCAGAAGGACCCTTGGGGTTTATTTATTATCCCCTGTTCCCAGTGTGGGAATGCTGAGTGCAGCAGTCAGGCCTGTCTGCTCTGGGCTGGACACTGCAAACCCACGTTTGAGACACGGTTACCTTTCAATGTGTTTTTCAATCTTCTCCCTGTAATATACCAGGGATAACAGCGCAGTGAGGACGGCGTGGCAGACCCTTGGCGACAGATGCCCTTTAACCAGACTGATAAATGCCTTTCCCTTTGAACCAATCTCCCTCCTCGAGGCAGCACCTTTGCCACGAGGCAGTGACACAGAACAGGCTGTCCCCAAGTCTGCTGCTCCTCCCAGAAATGTGTCTGTGCTGCCTGCAGCACTCAGGAGAAGCTGGTACCCCTGGAAAGAAGCAGGAGTTCAACTCCAATGCTTCAACCGGAGTTGTGCTTGTTGCTCCCTCTTAATTTCTTGTCACGGCTGAAGGTTGAAGCACAGTCCCCACCGGTGCTGCCCCACCGACACTGCCATGGCTGAGGGCTGCTGCTGCTGCTGCTGCCGGGGGGATGCAGGGCGGGCACAGCCCTTGGCAGCTGTACACCAACTCCTCACCTGCCCCAAGCAGATCACCTTGCTCTGCTCCGGCTGCCAGGCAGCCCTGGCCGGCAGCTCCGTGCCTGCACCTCCGGTGCCGGTGCCGGTGCTCCGGGGGCAGCCCGAGCCCGGCCCCGGCTCCCAGCCCAGAGCCCGCGGCCGGTTCTTCCCCCCGCACCGCACCTGCGGGGCGCAGAGGGGCGGTGAAGCTCGGCCCAGGTGGGAGGGACCGGGCTCCCGTTAAATCCGAGCTCCCGGAGAAGCCGGGCCTTGCAGGAGCCACCCCGGTGGTTTATGAGCTCCAGGTGCTGCAGCGGAGCCGCGCAGGAGGGGGGACGAGCCGCTGCAGCCCAGGTACCTCCAGTGCTGATTCCCAGGCCCATCTCTGCCTCTGCCGTGCCTCTTCCAAGTCCTTTATTTCTTTCAGTTCTCATGCTAATGCTGCGTGCAGTTCGTATCAATTTTTCCCTTCCATCGCTCTTCTTGCTGCTGCTTTGCATTTAACTGGGGTTATTCTCCTGCCTTGGGAGGAATCTGCCTCAGGGATCTCAAATAAGACAAGAGGTGGTTGTTCCTGCCCCAGCAGTGCTGCCAGGGGGCAGAAACTGAGGGGTGGTGAGCTGGGGTGGGGAAGGCTGCTGGATAATTCTGGGAGCAGTGGTGTGGAATTAGGCATATGAGGTTCTGAGGATTTCTCAGTAGTCCATGGGGTTTATGACATGAGCAATTACCTTTCTTATCCTTTTGAAGCCTATTTAAGATTTCCCGTGGTGTTTGTTGTCTGTGCATGTGTCCAAGTGCATGTTTCCTCCACTGCCTCAAACGAGCTCAGCTGAGGTGAAGTGGCTGGGATTGTGTGCTCCAGTGCATGATCCAGTGTCTCCTTCCTCCCTGCGGGAGGCTGTGCTGTGGGAATTGTGGAGAATTCAAGGCAATAAAAGTGCAATGTGGGGGCAGAGGTTTGTATGGGGCTCTGAGTTACTCAGGGCATTGTGGTGCCATTGAACCTTAAGCCACAGCCAGCCAGGAAGGTCAAAGCACTGGGAATGAGGTCAGTAGCTGTGAAACCAAAACCAGGTGCTGGGCCTCCATGTTTGTGTCAGAGGAGAGGGACTATCAGGAGGATGGCACAGAAGCTGTGCAGCCAGGGCTCCAGGTGGGAGTGCCTGGATCTGCTGCTGCTGTAGGTAGATGTATTGGGAGGAAAATGGAGCCTGGGGAGGGGAGGAAATTAATCTAGTCCCACCTCTATAGCTTGGACCCGAGGGAAGGGCCTGAAGCACGTTCTGGTGCTTCATGAGGTTCCCAGGCCTGGGTGCAGCACTGTGCACTGCAGGGGATGTGCCCAGGCCAGCACAGATGTTTGGGGCCCTTCTGAAACACCTGCAGTGTGCAGAGCCCCCCATGCAGCAGCTGCCACCCTCTCCCTCCCCTTGGCACCCCTGAAATGCAGGGAACAGCCTCTTACACTGCACATTCATCTGATGCTGCCTAGCGAGTCCCACAAGGGCTGGAGGGAGATGTTCCCATGGTGTCAGGGAAGAAACATCCTGCCTTGTGCTCCGAGGAGCTCGTTAGTTCCTGTAACTCATCTCAAACATTCTTAGGATTTGCTCATTTAGCCTATTTTTAGACAGACACCCTGTTCTAAAGACACTGTTGTCCCTGAGCCTCCCATGTCAACTGCTCACCCACAAAGAGGGGAGGGGAAACTTCTCCTGCTGTGCTGGGACCTCTGTTGGAAATGAGGACCAGGCTCTGTGCTGCTCTTGTACCCAGAGAAGCTCCTGCCAGAGGGGAAAGAGCTGTCCCGGGAGAGGAAAAGGCTGTAATGCAGTGGGAGGGGGAGCTGCTGGAGCAGCGATTTCAACATTCCTAATAACCCAACTCCTCCAAAAGCCTGGAGACCCTTCCAGAACTCTGAAATGTTGCTAAACAAGCAGCACTTTGGGGGGGTGGGGGTCTGCAGGGGGGTCACTGGGGGTGAGTGGCTCCTGCTGTGGATGCTCTCGGGTTGCACTGGAGGGTTTCTCGCTGCCCCACCAAAACATCCTGCTCTGGCACCGCTCATGCGGTGCTGCCTCATCCCGTGGCTCCGGGGGCTGGTCAGAGACCAAGATGCTGTCTGGGATTTCATAAACGCTTCTTTCCCTCGCTGCTGAGGTTCGTAATTGCTCGTGTCTGAGCGAGGGAGGAGGCTCTGACAGACTCCCCCAGGCTGGGAGGGCAGCCCCTCCTCGGGCACCAGGTGCTGGAACCCCCCGGAGCTGGGCTGTATTAATATCTGCCATGTGATACCGTGGCTCTCCCTGCTCTGCAGGGAAAACACAGCATAACCATGGGAACTTTCTTTCTCAACCCCCTCAGCATGCCGCTCTAATCCAGGCAAGTCACCCGCAGCCCTCGCAGTGATTAAACTGTGCGTAATGAGCGCTGGAAATCCTGGGTGTCCCAGCAGTTCCCTCTGCCCTTCCTGGCGAGGGGATGTGTAACAGGCTTGTCATCGGGAGGCTCCCAGGGCTCACGTTGCAGGGAAAAACAAGCAGGCTGGGCAGCTGGCTGAGCTGTTTTGGGGTCTGCGCGGACACAGGCAGCGAGGCTGTGTCCCGGCTCGTATGTCCGAGCCCCAAATAACCGCGCTGGGACACCCAGCCCGCAGCTGCCGGCGATGCTCTGCCCTTCCCCTGCCCCGCACGGTGCCAGGGCAGAGCCGGCTCGGGGCTGGGGGTCCCAGGGGGCTCCCCGAGCTCCCGCAGAGGAAGCGGGAGGGACTTTGCTCCGTGTGGATCCTCGGGCTCGGCCCATGTGGCGTCGCGGGGCTGAGCCGTGCCCGGCGGGGCTGGTTTGGGATGGGCAGAGCGGTTATCGAGCAGCCGGGGTGTGTCGGCACAGCCCTGGCCCCGGGGCACCCTGCTGCCCGCAGCCGCGCCCGGGAGCGCCCCGCAGCCCTCCGAGCACGGCACCCACCTCCTGCTCCACGGGGTGCTCCGTGCCAGTCCTGGCACCCCCAGCCCAGCTCCTTTTCCCACCGCGGGGGTGCCTGCCAGGACTGACCCACAGCCTGGCTCTCCTGGTACTGCTCTCACTGAGCACTAAGTGTCCATCTGCGTGTGAAATCTGTGACTTGTCCCCTCCAGCTTAGAGAGAGCTGTGTGCCACAGTCTGCTTCCAGTAGCAGAAACTCTGCCATTTCCAGTCTGGTTGTGCTTGTGCCAGTTTATTTCCATCTTTCTGTGCTAGCCTTGACTTAGCTGAGACAACATTTCTCCTTCCCTGGAGTTTCCATACAGCCAGTCCATCTCCCAGGCCTGGCTGAACCAGCCTGTCTGGGCATGGCTGCAGTGCTGGGCTGCCCTGATTCTGTCCCAGAGCTCACCCTGCTGCTGCCATGGGGCCCTTGGCACGGCTCATGGCACGGTGTGGGTGTGTGTGACACAGGCTCCTACCTGTGCCCACGCCTGGACTCTCTTTCCTGCCTGAGGGGCACAGCCAGACCCTGCCCAGCCCTCACTGGGCCTGTGCATGGGGTGTGCCATTCCCTGATGTCTGTGGGCAGCATTTGCCCGTGCCATGCTGGTGGCCAGCAGCCACCCTGTGATTCCCCTCCTTCACCTCAGCCCTTCTCCTTTGCTCCTCCAGGCACAAGAGCTTGCAGCCCAGGCTCAAAATTCCTGCGAGGAGCCTGGGAGACCTCTCACTTCAACCCAGAGAAGGGAAGGGAGGAGAAATGAGGTTTGGAGGCTAATTCTGGCAGCATCACACATGAGAAAGATCAAAAACTCAGGGCAGGAGTACAAGAAAGGAGGGAAGCTGTTGCGTGCATGCTCCTGGAGGCCCCGGCAGCCCTGGTTCATGCATCCTGCACGTTATTTCTGTACCTACTTAAATTAAAACCAGCCTTGTCTTGTGGATGCTGACTGGAGCCAGGCAGTTCTTCTCCCCAGGGGAGAATCCAATTTTCACTCCATCTCGCTAGTGTTTTTGACCTGGAATGACTCTTCTTTTTATATTTAACAAGCGCTCCCTCCGAGCCTTGTACCACACTGCACTTCTCACGCAGAGCTGGCGGCGTTGTGGCACACGGTGCCCCAGGGCAGGAGACCTTGGGTGGTTTCCCAAGGTGGGCATCTGCTTACCTGGGCTCTGAGCTGCACCCCTTGGCAGAGTTGTGCTGTCACTCAACCTGAGGTGACACAAACCTTGTGGGCAGAGAGCCCTGGCATGGCCAGCCAGGAAAGGGGAAGGGGGGGCTGGGTCCCAGCCTGCTCCTGCACCCACTGTGCCCTGGGGCTGAGGTCTGGAAATGCCAAGGAAGAGCCAGGTGCTGGTGCTGGCCAAGGGGAAGGCACCGTGGGCTGTGGCACTGCTGCAGTCAGAGGAGGGACCCCACTACCTGCAGCCCCTCACCCACCTGCCCCCCAGTTTCTGGCAGATCCCTTCACAGCTGGTTCTCCACAGGGATCACTGGCTCCAGACTCAGTCCTCCTCCTCTGGGAACTGGGGCAGACCTGGCTCCAACAGCATAGCCCCAAATTCCCAGAGGTTCCCACCTCTAGGAATAATTAGCAACAATTCAGGTCTGCCTTGGGCCTGTCTAAATCAGGCTCCAGAGGTGCTGCCCTTCCTGCAGCACAGCCCTGCTCCCGAGCCATTCCTCTGCCAGTGCTGTACATGGAACCTCTCAGAGGCTCAGGAGACACGGGGGGCTGGGCTGACAGGAAGGTAAATGGGGTTGAGGCATTTATTCTATTCACTCTGCAGCTCTCGGTGCTCTCGGAAGCCCTGGAGAGGGATAGAGGCTTTACCTGCCGTGACTCGCCCGGGGCCGGGTGCTGACAGCAGAGCAGACAGCAGCGATGTTTTGCTTTTAATTCCCTACACTTCATGAGCTCGGGGTGTTCTGGGTGTCTCTCTAGAGAGACACGGGTCTTCTCCGGGGTTATATAATGAGACAGCAGCGATGTTTTGTTTCTAATCCCCTAAACTTCATCAGCTTGGGTTGATCGGAGTGTCTCTCTAGCAAGATATGAGGCTTCTCCGGGGTTATATAACTCACCCAGGGCATGGCTGCCATGTTTTGAGCCACCCTCCAACACCTGGCAGGGCAATTAGTCACTGATTACAGCCGGTGAGGCAGGGCACCAGCCCAGCTCCTGCAGGGCACCAGCCCAGCTCCTGCCCGCGCCCACGGGGCTCAGGGACCGGCTGCCTTGGAGCAACGTGTCTCCTTCCTAATCCTGTGACTCCATCGTTAATCAGCCCAGGATAAGAGAGTCAATAAGTCTGTCACTGGAGACTGGTGCAGGACAGGACAAATATTTTAATAAGTGTACCCCTCTGTTTGTGAGTGTCCCGTGCCAAATCCGCACAGGATATGGGGAGGGAGCCCTGAGCTGTGGCATTAACTCCTGCCAGCAAAGCTTTGGCTCTGGATCTCTGGATATCCCGTGGTCCTCACCAGTGCTGCCCTGCCTAGGGGCCAGAGAGGATGGTGTAGTGCTGACACAGGGACTGTGCTGGGCCTGGATGTCCCCAGCATGGAGATGCCAGGCTTGGCTGGCACAGCGGGTACAGAGGGGTGCAGGGTCACTGTCCTCACCCCAAGCCAAAGGAGTGAAAGTCCCTCAGTGTTTGGTGGCAGCTGAGGGACAGCTCCTGCCAAGCAGCGGGAGCAACAGCTGGGGGAACCCCATTTGATTGCTGATGCAGCAGGACAACTCCCACACCTCCAAACAATGTCCTGAGACCCCTTTTCCCAGACTTCTGAGGGAAGCCAACCTCATTCCACAGGGGTTTATAATGGGGAATAAAAACAAAAAACGCTTTCTGCCTGAAGCGAAGCCAGAGAGAATGCAACACGTATCTGCAGTCAGATTCCTCGAGCAGCACCACCACTGAGGCAGCAGCCACGTCCGCAGGCTTCCAGACTTGTGTTGTACCAGGAAAATAAAATCCTGGATTAGCTGTACACCCTCTTGCAGGACACTGCCCTGGCAGGCAGCTCCAGCTCTCTGCCCCACAGGGCTCCAGGCTTGCTGGCTGTCCTTGGCTCGAGGGGGTCAGGGTCCCATGAGGAGGCTGCTAGAGCCTTCATTTCATTCTTTATCCAGAAAATAAGCCAATAAAACCAGGATTCCACTTTATGCCTTTGAATCCTGAAGAGCTGATGCCAATGAGCCTTTCATGTGCTTGCCCAGCTACGCTGTGGCACTGGGAGCAGAGGCTGGAGGGGCTGGAAAAGCAGGACAGGGTGATTTGTTTTCATATGAGCTGAATTCCAGCTTTCTCTCCAAATCCCGGTTTTTATGGACTTTTCCGCTGAAGTCTGCTCCTGCCCGGGGCATGCCTGTGTAACCACTCCTCTCTGCATTCCTCAGATTCTTATTCCGCTGGAGACTGGATTGAAGACGGGGTCTGAGGTCCCTGGTGGAGGAAGGAGGAGAGGAGGAGGAGGAGGAGAAGGAGGAGGTTTCCCTTGGCCTCTAAGCTGTGAAACCGGAAAACCAAAGCATGTCCCAGGTCATAGAATCCCACGTGTTGCGTGTTGGACAGACTGTGTGTATTTCCTCGCCGGAGGAAAGCAAGAGCCTGCACCCGGCGGGGTACCCGGGCTGCTCGGCACTGCCGGCCAAGTACGTCTACTACTCCACCGAGGCCTGGACTGACCCCCCGTCCGTGCTGCACCCCAAGGCTCGCCTGTTCCCCAGCGGGAGGGCACACGGAGCCCAGCCCGTGCCAGAGCAGGCAGCTGCTCACACGGGGAAAGGCCAGCAGAATTCCTCCTTGGAGAGACCCCCTGCCCCGTGCCAGCCGAAGGAGGAGGGGAGCACCAGCACGGACGCTGAGGCTCAGCCAGTGTCTCCCTCCCTGGATATAACCATAGAGACTCTCAACCAGATGATCCTAGAGATCGATCCCACCTTCCAGCCACTGCCGTGCGGGCCGGTGAAGGATGCAGCCCAGCCTGCTGCTCAGGGGGACGCTGCGGCCACCAAGAAGCAGGAGCCAGAGGCAATAGGTGAGGCAATGGCTGTGGAGCCTCCAAAGCTCCCATCTGCTGAAAATCAGAGCCTGGGCCAGAGGGGTTGGGCACACGCCTGTCCCCTGCATCCACACATAGTCCTGTGCTCCTGGGGAGGCTGGAAATGGGCACCAGGGAAGGGACATTGCCCACTGTCCCCAGGAGGATCAGTGTTTCCTGACTCAGGGCTCCATGTTAAGGAGCAGGACAGGCTGTGTATCCAAGCTCTGCCTGACTCCAGTGCTTCCACAGCCCTGGTCTGATCACTCTTGGCATGTCTCATATCCAGACAGTTCAAAGGGGTCCAGAAAGGAACAGGGAAAACAGCCTTTAGTTCTACCTGATGTTCATTTCCCTGTGTCTGAAGAAAACAATTCTCATTACAAATGGGACTTGCAGCTGTTGGAAAACTTCTAATCCCAGTTGTCAGCACCAGTGACTGCCCCTGGGCTCTGGATGCCCAGTGAGGACCCTGCTCCCCTCAAGGGCAGCAGAACCTTTCCCAGGGTCACACTTGACCTGTGGGAGCACATGGATTTGCAGCCAGATTTCCACAGCCCTGGGCTAAGGTATCAAGTGTTGCACCATCCCATTTAAGTGTTCCCAATTCTTTTGCCAGGGAACTTCTTTTTCCAGGGCTTGTGCGCTCCCCAGGCAGCATACCTGGCATAGGCAAGGCACCAGGAGCACATACCAGCCTTGTCTCTGCTCACAGTGCCTTATGTGACCCCTTGTGCAACCCTTCCCTGTCATCCCTGCAACCCAGGCTCTGATTTGTGAGCTGCTCCTGATCCCAGTATTCCTGCCTGGGCTCTCCTGCTCATTTTAGGTGTTCAACACCTTGCGTACAGGACAGCCCCACACATGGGGAGCTGGCACTGCTGACAGCACAGGTCTAGGGTGGTTCAGGTGCCTCCAGTCCCACTTTTTCCCAAAAGCTTTATTGCCCATCCTTGTTTTACACATGGTCAATATCTCTACAATCAGTCCCCAGGCTTCTTTTCACAGCAAGGTCAAATGTGAGGATGTTAAAGACAAAAAAAAAAATTTAATTCTCCCTGAGCCCTGATGCAAACAAGGATGGCAGGGCTGGAGAAGGATGAGGTGGGTGTGAGGTTCCTGGTGCTGCAGCAAGGCAGCAGCACTGCAGGAACCAGGCAATTCCAGAGCAGACAGTGTCCCTGCTTCCTGCTGGGACGGACAGGGCGGCCTTGCAGATAAAATACCGTGACAAAGTGCAGACCCAGCTCTGGCTGCTCAGTGCCTGACCCGTTCCACTGCCCCCCTCCGTGCTCTGCTCAGGGGCTGGAGCCCCAGGCAGCTCCGCAGGTAACGTGCTAGTGGTCTGGAGAATCTGGCTCCAAGCGTGGAACTGAACATCTGGAAAGCTGGCCATGAATTCAGTGGGGAAAGCCTCACTCCAGCTTTCATTTTCTTTTAACAGCTCTTGGTTTTTTACACAAACTTCCTCCATAGTGCAGCGTACCTGTTCACTCACCTGCTCCTGCTCCAGCCTGTGCCCTGATGTGAGGGTGGCAGGGACTGATGGTGCCCAAGAGAGGGGAGAGGGGCCTGTCCTTGTCTTGTCTAGTGGAGACCATGAGGAAGCTTTAAACATGACACTCGATCCCAACTCAGCACAATCTGAAATGCTGCAGTGACAGGAGGCACGATCATGAGAGGCACTATTCCTTCTGGATCCTTCTAGTTCCTAGAGGAAAAGATCTCAGCTTGCGTGACATCTGGGCTCCGTCTTTGTGGCACTTTTGCCACTCCTTGATGCTGGAAAACTTGCCAAGGTCTTGAGCAAATATTTGAGGTTTAACCACAGGTGATAAGAGGAGCAAAGGCGGAGAAGTAGGAGGTAAAAGGCCTCATGAGCCTGGTGCACAGACGCTTGTCAGTTCTTTAAAGAGCAATTAAAATCCCTATTTCTTTCTCCTTTTGGGGAGACATTGACAAAAAGCATCTGGCCAGCTCGCTGCAAGGGTTTGTGCACTGGTACCAGGACATGTGGCCACAGAGCTGCCCCCAGGCTGGGCACTGGAGGAGCTGCTGCTGGCAGCAAGGCTCTGGCTCTGTCCTGCCGTGATCCAGCTGTGTCCCCACTGGGGACCAGCCCTCCTGACTCACCCAGTGCCTCCCTGGTGCTCGTGGCTGGCCGTGTTTATCCAGTCTCGTGCTGGGATTGGCACAGAGAAGGGGCTCAGGGAGTCACTTCTGTGCTTTTCCTGCTCGTTCAGCTCCGTGCCCCAGAGCTCAGGTGTTGCTTGCAGTAGCCAGGGCCAGCAGCTCCCGCACAGCAGGTCCATCAGGACCTGTCAGACCCGAGGCAGGGCACTCAGGGCTGTCAGAGCAGTTTGTCTTTGCTGCAGCATAAAGGATTTTCCCTCTCTGAGAAACACCTTTGAGAAGGGCAACTTTCCTGAACTCCATGGCAGGGCAAGAACCAGGCGCTGAAAGCAAAGCTGGGCACGTCCAGACTGGAAGGGAGGTGCACACCTCTGGCCCTGGAGTGATTAAGTGATTAACCAGGGGAGCAGCTTCCCTGGGATGTGAGGAATCTGCCATTGCTGCAAGCGCTCAAATCGAGTCTGAGTGTCTCTTTTTAAAACAAAATCCTCTTCCAGCTCAGCCAGAAATGCTGGCTTTGTCCAAGGAAGCCTGGACCTGACGTGCACCAGGCACCGCTGGTGCTGGCTGTGAGGTTCCACTGAGGGTGTTGGACAGGAGATGCTGTCAGGTGTGTTCCCGTGTCACTAATGGCAAGTGGAAGGGCTGGCTCTGAGCACGAAGGGAAGAGAAGGAAGAATCCCACAGCAGGACACAGAGACTGCCTGGGAAGTGACTTCTCTAGAGAGATCTGGGCAGGGTGGAGGAAGGAGGAGGGAGCAGCCAGCCCCTGCCCGGGTCTGTGCCCTGTGATGTACACCAAGAATGTTGTAATTGCTCCTGTCCCACGTGGATTTCCACTGCCTCACTGCCTCACTGCCACAGCCCAGCTGTACCTGGGGGCAGGTGACATCCCCCTGCTCCTCCGCCCAGGGTGTGCAGGGCCACCCTCCCCTCCTGACGTCACCCCGGGGGGAGCAGCCAGGTGTTTTTCTCTTGAGTCAGGTACAAACAGAGCAGCTGCTGGAGGGAACACCCGCCTCTGGCTGCAGGTCTCGGCAGGTCCTGGCTGGGTAATGCTGGCGAGGGGGGTCTGAGCAGCCAGACGTGACCGCACGTAACCCCCTTCCCTGGGAGCCTGCCAGCAGCGGGGGGGTCACTTCACCTTGGGATCTGTGGGGAATCAGCCTTCACAGGGTCTCAACAAAGGGTAGTGCTGCACCCCCAGCCCTGCAGAGATGGGGCTAAAATTCCCAGCAGGAAGAACAGACACGTGTTCCTCACAGAGCTTTGCTAAGGAGCCCAGCTTGCACACCAGATCCTTCATGACCTCCTCTCTTTCTCTGCAGACATCAAGTACATCGAGCTGACACCGGGCAGAGCCATGGGGCCCGACCTGCCACAGGGCTCCCCCAGCCCTTCGGGCACCCCCTTCTCCAGGTCCCCTCAGAACAACAGCTTCCTGCCCCAAAAAGGGGCGCTCGGAGGCAAATACAGCACCAGTGACAGCGTGGTTTTCTCCAGCCCACCCGGACCCCCAAGTCCCCAGTCGGGCACCCTGAGCTGCAGCAAAGCATCCGAGAGCACCAGCACGGCCTGGCAGTGCCTGGCAGGACACACGGACACAGCCTCCCACAGCCCCGGGGCCCTCAGCACCTCCCCAGGTGCTGACAACCTGCTGAAGCCCGTGCAGGTGCTGAGGGCCCGGCAGAGGGGGAGCTGGGTGTCCCAGCTCTCCACCAGCCCTGGCTCTGACACCAGCTACATCCTGGGCAGGTAAATGCCACCGTGCCTGCTGGAAGGGGCACAGGGCAGTGCCTCATTCCTCTGGGTGGGAGATGATGCCCTGCAGGGTTGGTGCAGTGGCTGGGATGGTCTCTGTGTGTGAACAACCCCCTGATCTCTGCTCTGTCTCCCTCCTGCAGCAGCACCCACTCGCTCCACAACGAGGACTCGGATGCTTCGGCCGCTGCCTCCCTGTCCCCCGCCAGCTCCCTGGGCAGCCCCTGCTCCCCTTCCTGTGCCATCATGTCTCACCCCAGGGAGGCTTTTGGCCAGAGCTCCCCCCAGCCCCGGGCAGGCAGCTCCCCCAGCTCCGTGGCCCAGAAGGGCCAAGCCAGCAGCTGCCCCCCCTCCATCCTCACCTCCTCGGCCGACATCCCGGTGCTGCTGGTGAACGGGTGCCTGGAACAAGGAGATGGACCCCCACAACTGGCCAAAGCCCCCCCCAGCTCTGCCACGCAGCCCCCCCTGGCCAGCTGCAGCCCGGCCCCGAGGCTCGGTGGCCTGAACACCGCGCAGTCAGCGCCCGCGCTCAGCTGCCTCTCGGACAGTGAGTCACGGGGAGCAGCTGCTCACCCCAAAACTGCTGGGAAAGGGGCAGCAAACACCATTCCCCTTCTGCTTTAGCTGTGGATTATAGGCACAAAGGATGAGAGGTCCTCGCTGGAGCTCCTTGCTGTGTCTCCCTATGGTCTGGGTGGTCACCAGCCTCAGGGTTAGGCACAGCTTTCTGCCCACCGGTGTCCTGGGACGTGGGCTCAGCAGCCAGGAATGCTCTGCTCCCTTCAGGAGATGCAGATGCACCTATTTATAGCACCTGAGAAGGAGAAACATCATTCTGTCCTGCCCTGCCTGTTTGCAGACCCAGAGTGGGTTGGGAGGAGGGGTTGGGGTTCCCGTTTGCTCTGAGGACACCAAAAGGCACCAGGGTTCACAAGGTCCCTCATTCAAGGGCAGACACTGGGGCTATTGTTCTCTGGAGGAGATGAGCAGAGGCAGCTCTCGGGGCAGAGGGTTTTAATTGGGATCCTTATGGGAATAGCAGGAGGGTGTGTGGGTCAGATCCTGCTGTAAGTCCCATGGTCCAGTGGATTGTGCAGGGCTGGGCAGGCTGGCACTGCCAGGGGATTCCATGTGACCCTCTCTGCACCACCTCACAGCCTGCCAAGAGAGATAATTACATGGAGAACGAGCTGTTCAGATGAGTGGGGAGGAAAGGATTCAAAAGGATTGAAAAACCTTCAGCCCTGGCCACCCTGAGAGAGAAATGTCTTTGCTGGGCTCTGCCATCTCTGGAGGTCTTTCAGGTTCCTGCTGGCCTTGACATCCTGTGGTCTCTTGCAGGTCCCCTGAAGGCTGGGCAGCCCACCATGAAGTTTGTGATGGACACATCAAAATACTGGTTCAAGCCAAGCATCAGCAGGGACCGAGGTGAGGCAGGAAAGGCTCTATGGGTGTGACCCCCTCGGGCTCTGGCCTGTCCCCGGAGCTCTCCGGTGTCCCTGTGGGGACCCAGTGGGGGCAAGTCAAAGGCTACTGGGGGCTGATGAGTGTGGAGGGACCCTCTCACAGCTTGAGAGGGGCAGCTCAGAAACAAGAGCTGTGCCATGGCCCCTCTATGTCCTCCAAGCCCAGCAAAGCTTCTCCTGCCTGTCACACAGCGTGGCCTGGGCAGGGGCTGAGTGTCCTGGGGACTGCAGGGGCCTGTGGGACCAAGCCAAGGTGCCACACAAGGAATGTCTGTGTCCTTGGCACACGCTCCAGAGCTTTTCCTGCTGCTGCCAAGGAGGGACTCCCTGCAGAGCACCAGGGCACAGCGTGGGGAGCTCCCACCTGCTGTGTTTGGCTGAGCCCCTGCCTGTGCTCTGACAGCAATCCAGCTGCTGAGGGACAAGGAGCCGGGCACGTTCCTGGTGCGGGACAGCACCTCATTCCGGGGCTCCTTCGGACTGGCCATGAAGGTTCCTGGCTCTCCCTCCGGCAGCCAGACAGGTACGGGGGTGCACAGGGGGGTTCCTTCAAGGGTTTAACTGAAACTACCCCAACTAAAGCCAGATGAGAGGCCACAGGACTCTGGTGTGTGGGAGATGCTGGCAGAGTGTCTGTGTGTGCCCACTCCACTTCTCACAGGGCCTGGCACCATAATGATGCCACAAAGTGGCTCTGGTGATGCCCTGGGACAGGACTCTGGGGTGGCCAGGGGTGACACAGTGGCATGGGGCCGCTGCTGGTGCTGATTGTGGTTCCTCTGGCAGGTGAGGAGAGCAGTGACCTCGTCCGGCACTTCCTCATCGAGTCCTCCACCAAAGGGGTTCACCTGAAGGGTGCCAGCGAGGAGCTGTATTTTGGTAAGGACGGTGCTGTTGCCCACAGCAGCCCTGGCAGCCCCAGGAGCTGTTCCCAAAGCCCCTGGAAGCACCAGCCAGGACCGGGTGAATGTGTTGCACACCTGCCAGCACAGGAACCCCCCCAGCCCCAGCCCCAGGTCCTGCCTGCACCTCCTTGACAGTGAGACTGTGGCTCCAAACAGGAACATGAGCTCCCTGGGACACGGGTGCAGGGGGGTTCCAGGCAACAGCCCCCCCCAACTCACAGTTCTGGTTGCAGGGAGCCTCTCTGCCTTCGTCTACCAGCACTCCATCACCCCGCTGGCACTGCCCTGCAAGCTCAGCATCCCCACCCGAGGTAGGAGACGCGACAGGAGGGAGGCTCCGAGGGGCTGCTGTGGGAGGTGGGCGAGGTCCTGCTGTGGGGAGGGGTCTGAGCCCCCCCGGTGCCTGCGAGGGGCTGCTCCCCTGGCTGCAGGGGGAGCAGGGACCTGCAGAGCTGACCTGGGGATGGGACAGTGGTGACTCCTTTCCGATGGGGCTGCAGAGAGAGCAAGGGAATTAGATCAGAGGTGAACAGAGCCCGGAGAGGGAAATGAAGGACAATTAAGTTAATTACTACTCTAAACCCCTGCAATTAGAGTGGTCACGGGCCTTTGAGCTGCTTGTGAGATAAGGAACGGCCAAAGAGGTGATCAGCTCAGCCTGGCCTGTGGCATCACTGCTCCTGCCTGTCTTGTGCAGATCTTGCTGATGGAGAGGACAGCCCTGACTGCACTCCTGAACCTGCCCTGTCCCTGGCCAGGAAAACTGCAGGTGAGGACATGAGCCGGCTGCTGGCCCTGGGGACAGCCCAGCTGGCAGGAGCTGGGGCCTTGGGGACACTGTGACAGCAGCAGCTCACCCCTGTGCAGTGGTGGCCGCTGGTGTGGCATCCCCCTCCAGCTTCCCCGTGGGGCTGGAGATAGCTGCAGGATTTCTGCAGATTTTTTCCTGGGCTGAAAGGGAGCCTGATATTTTTAAGGAAAGGAGACTTTGGGTCCTCAAGTTGCTTGAAAACACAGTTCTTGAGGTCATGAAGCTGAGAAAAGAGCCCCAGGTTCCACAGTTTTAAAGAGTTCCTGATTTTTAAGCCTCTCTCCTGATGAGCTTCAATGGGTGTGGAACAGCTGGACCTTTAGGAGAGGGATGGGCAGTCAGGGACTGGTGAAATTGCCTTACAGGGCACATGTGGGAATGACAGAGTAGGACAGGGAAGAGTCTGTGCACCTCAGCCTGGGCGGGTTCCAGGTGAGAGCAAAGAATGAAGGGCAGGAGACCACACGGACGGGTCACAACACAGGCTGGGGAGCTGGAGACTGCTTTGTTTTGCTGGAAATTCTGAAAAATCAGTTGGCAAGCTGGAAAGTTTAGTTTGACCCAGAACAGCCCTTTAAACAGCTCAATCAGCCTGAAATGTCATGTTTTAGGTTGGCTGTCAGCCCTTCATTAGCTTGGGGTATTTCTGCTTTTCATTAAAGGAAATATGTAATAAACAGAAAAAAAAAAACCAGCAAATGTGACATTTAGAAACGGGAAATTAAATACTTTGACTTTTACAACAATTAGTGCAAAGAATTAAAGCAAACCAAACTAAATTAGTGAAGAATTTCTGAGTCACCCAATCTTTTCATTTTCGTCAAAACAAACCTGACCCGGATCTGTGTGAGGGATCTGCAGGATGACCCCGGGGACCCAGCCCTGGGTCTGGCCCGTGTCTGGCCGCGCTGAGCCAGGCCCTGTGCTGTCCCTGCAGTGTGCAACGTCCTGTACCTCAACTCGGTGAACGTGGAGACGCTGACAGGAGCCCCGGCCATCCTGAAGGGCATCTCCTGCACCCTGGAGCTGGAGACGCTGCCCACCCCCACCCTGGTGCACTTCAGGGTGACGGAGCAGGGCGTCACGCTGACCGACGTGCAGAGGAAGTAAGAGCTCAGGATGGGCCAAAGGGGGGGTTCATGGAGAGGCAGCTCCCTCCTCACCTCCCAGCCTCAGGAAAACCTGCCCTGGTTGGACCATGTCACCACCCAGGGATGGACCTGATCCCTTAACAAGGGGTGCTGTGTTTTTGTGGCACTGCTGGGATGCAGGAGCCAGCTGCACCCAGGGTTGGGATTTTGGGATGCCTTGAGACCATCAGTCTCCCACAAGCACAACAGGGCTTGGATTTGAAAATTGGCGTCCTTGCTGAGGCCCTTCCCTTTCCTAACAATTCCCTCTCCTCTTCCAGGGTGTTCTTCAGGCGACACTACCCCTTGGCTGCCATCAGGTTCTGTGGGATGGACCCTGAGAACAGAAAGTGAGTTTTGGGCAGCCGTGCCTGTTGGAGCCACCCGCTGTGCCCCCTCCCCTGTGGTTCCCAGTGCCTCTGCACCACTGCAAATCCCAAATCCCATAAAAGTGCCCTGGGCACACCGTGCTGGGGTGGTCTAAACACAACCCTTGGCTTTGCAGCTGATGGAATGAGTTAAACATCAGCCTTTGAGCAACTCCAATTCTGTTCTTCCCCCAGGTGGCAGAAGTACTGCAAGTCCTCCAGGTAAGAGCAGGGATCTCCCACATGGAGTGGGGGGCTGGAATCCAGGGGAATTATGCTGCTTTGGGAAGTGGCTGCATTGCAGAGCAGCAAAGAAAGAGCTTAAAAATGAGGAGGGGATGTGATAGAAGTTACCATGGTGGCAGGATGAGGCGTGGGACTGATGGGTGAAGCTTTGGAAGGGTTGCTCTGTAGGTTTGGATGAGAGGTTTGGCTGAGCCCAGTTTCCACATCCCCTCATGCAGAACCCCCAGTCCAAATCCCACAGCCTTCACAGGGACTTGTGCTGGGTTCAGGAAGTGAATTTATATCTGGCTCTACCTTGTGCTCAAGAATCTTTTCACAGCTGGGGAAGCCTTGCCAAAAATGCTCCTCCCGGCTGCTTGGCTTCCAAGGAAACGTGACTGGGGAGCAGGCCAAGGTGGAATTGCTGGAACTGGGATTTGGCTTTGTGGCTGGGCTGGTTTCAGCCTATTCCTTCAGATTCCTGGATGCAAACTGAATAAGCCTCTTTTCTTTCTCAAAGAATCTTTGGGTTCGTGGCCAAAAGCCAGACAGACTCGGAGAACCTCTGTCACCTGTTTGCGGAGTACGACACCGTGCAGCCTGTGTCCCTTGTCATCGACCTGCTCCGCCAGCTCCTGCCCAGCCTGTAGGGACAGAGCCCTGGGATGCTGAGGGCCAGCAGCTGCTCACACTCTGCTGAGCTTCTTCTGCTCCCCTTCTCCTGCTTCTGGGTTGCATTTTGGCAACAGCGTGTATTTAGACTTTTTTGTTATGCACCGTCACATCGGGAGCCTCAGCTGAAGACTTTCAGCTCTGGTGGGATGAGATGCTCCTCTGAGCCTCTCCATGGGGCACTGGCTGCCCTGGGGAAGGGATGGGAGCTGTGCTCTCTATGGAACCACTGTCCCTCAGCTGGACCATCTGCTTTGAAGGACCACAGTGCTCTGGCTGGGATTTCTGCCAGCCGTGAGGTCCCCTGTTCTTGGGGTGTCTGGGCTGAGGGAGCTCATGGAGCTGAACTGAGCTGAGCTTCCACCATTGGGGACTCAGCCCTGACACCCCAGTGCTGCCTGAGGGAAAATCTGGGGGAGGAATCATCCCCTGAGCAGCACAAAGATCAGCTTTGCAATCAAAGTGTATAAAATGACTAAGTCCAACTGGAAACCTGCCTCCCTCAAGGAGCAAGCAGCATCCACAGGCGGGAATGACAGAGCAGCGCATTTTTCCTGGTGCTGGGAAATTCTCCTGCCCTTTTACGCAGTGCGGGGTTGCGGGCAGGGCTCGACCTCCCAGCATTGCCGAGAGCTGGGAAATAAATGGTGACATTTTCATGACAGTGAAACATCGGGTTTTTGGAAATGACTTGCCTGAATTTGGGCCGGATTCTCAGATGACGTAAATTGGCAGGGCCGTGAGGAAGACAGTGCTGCCGTGATCTGCAGCAGCTGAAGGGTCAGCTTGAGCTGTAGCTCAGAGCAGAAAGCAGCTCTGAAGCCACCATGATTTTCTCTACCTTAGTTCTCATTTGGTGCCTCTGCATTGATTTAATTTCGGCCCCCCTGTTAACAAACCCTCCCAGGGGTATTTCCAACAGAGCAGTAGAACATTTATCCTGCCACAGGCACCACAGGGATGGAGCAACGGAGACACTCAGCTCCAGAGCAGCAGAGCAGATGCGCCCAGGGCAGAGTCCCTCTGCTGTGGAGTGGGCCCAGCTGCAGCCACACTTGGCAATGACCAAAACAGATATTGGGGTCACTGCGGGGGGAGCACATGGGGCTCTGAGAGGAGACAGGAGCAGCTTTGTCACCCCAGTCCCTCTGCCCTGAGCTCTGCTCAGCCACACCCCAGCACTGCAGGGTGGGCTCGGGAGCTGCTGCCTGAGGGATCCAGGTGCCTCTGCTGTCCCCATCGTGCTGCTGGGACCAGGAGGTTGCAGCTCCCCAAGGTCACAGGCAACTTGGGCTGTGGGACTCCAGCCCTGAGACCCTGGGGCAGCCCCAGGACTCCCAGAGCAAGACTCTGTTGTTACCGTGTTGCTGGTCAGGATCAGCAACTGGGAATGAGGCCAGGCAAAGTCTTTGGCTCCACACGGTGCTTTGGGGGGTCGTGCTGCCCCCCCAAGCCCGGCTAGCCCTGGTAGCCATCAGCACAGGGCCAGGGCGTGGGGCTGGGCTCTGGGAGCACTGGCGTTGGCCCTGCGGCAGTGGCCCCTCTGCCGTGCCAGCAGATTTCTGGGCTGTCTGTATTGGCTGCAGCCACCTTTGGCCCTGGCCCGGTGGGGTTTGCACAGCGCCAGCACCGGCGGCTGCCCGGCTCTGGTACCCGGAGCATCGGGCTGGTGCCAGCTCCAGATGACACTGCCGGCCTTTGGAGCCACCAAAGAGGGACTTGGTGAACTCCTGGCCCGTGACCGCGGGCAGCACCGGCTGCAGACACTGGGACAGAGCCAAACCGTGACCGGGAAGTGTGCGGCTGTCGCAATTCCTGTGCCTGGGCATCTCCCATCTGCATCCTGACCCTCCCAAAACCCCGGGCAGAGCTGGAGATGCCCGGTGCACCCTGGCACCAGCAGGCACCTGCACGTTTGCCTCGGGCTGCGGCTCGTCAAGGCCAGCAGCACTGCCTGGCCGTGAGCCCGTGTCCCTGGAGCAGCTGGTGCCTGTCCCTGTCTGTCCCTGAACTTTGAAGCCGGTCCAGGGTCCCCTCCCCAGCCTGGCGCCGTCTCCGGCCCCGCCGCTGCTCCGTGGCGCTGTGTAAGGGTGATGGTGATGGTGACAATCTTCCCGGTGGCACCGGTGGAGACGCTGAGCCAGAAGTCATGAGGAAGAAAGAAATTTTTTCCCACCCCATCCCTGCGCAGTGAAGTTCTTCCAGAGGCTTGTGAGCTCCTGCATTTCCAGCTGCTGAGTCCCAAACCCAACACAGGACCAGGAGAGCAGCTCCTTGGGCAGAGGTGGTGACCAAACCTGTCCCCACACCAGTGGAATCCACAGCCCCCTCTTTCCTGCTCTGTCTCCCTCCTCTCCCACAATTGAAAGCCATAAAAGATAAAACACACTCAATAGAAACACATCAAATAACGGGAAATTAAATACAGTAATTACCTTTTTTGAGGATACAAAGGTTCAAGTGTACTGCAAAAGGTCGGTGCTACACAGGAATCTGATGGGACGGGCTTGGCCCGGGAGGGACGGACAGGGACCCCTTGGGCTCCAGGGGACATGCTGGGGGTGGGGGACACTGGTACATGGTCGTGTGTAAATACAGCCCTAAACTACAGGAGAGACGCTACGAGACGCTGGAGCCCTCGGAGCGGGACACAGAATGTGCCCTGGTGCATCAGGAACCCCCAAACCAGGAAAGGCCCTGCTGGACCCGCCCTGGGGTACACGGGGAGTGGCCGAGGCCACGGGGCTGGCACTGCCACTGCCCTGTGTCCTGCTGTGGTGCTGCCACAGGGGACTGGCACTGGGACTGGCCCCAGGAATCCCTTCCTTGGTGCGGTGGCTCCGAGGGGTGGCAGAGGCAGGGACCCCCTCCCTGGTGAGGATGGTTCTGGTGAATTGACTCCGTTTAGAAGCTGTGTGTGAGCAGGGCCACGGGCAGGCAGGGCAGGCAGGGATCTGCAGGGCACAGGGCAGGCAGGGGATCAGGAGGGCAGAGGGTGTTTCACTAAAACTGAAACGCTTCGTTCCCATCAGGGGGCCTTGGACAGGACAAATCCACACGGAAAACCAAAACCTACCACTGAGGCCATGGAGCCAGAGGGTGGGTCAGGAGGGGATTGGGGAAGTCCCCTCTGTCTTTGGTACACTTCCCATGGCATTTTTATGTGAAAAATTTCCATCCCAGCTTGAAGAAAAACCAGGTACAAAACCAGTGACAATTTCTCAGCTGAGAACATTGTGCTGGTGAAATCTGCAGATCCCATCATGGAGACATTCCAGAATCCATCCCAGTTTTGTCACATTGGCCAAGAAGAGAAGATAGGAGCCATCACCGCAGTGCCTTGGTCCCTGAGGGTGGAGAATTCCAGCCTCGAGGCCACACAGTCACTTATTCAATCTCACCAACAACATTTTTTAAATACTAAAGAATTTGGGGAAGAAATAAAAAACTCAAACCAAAAGAAGCTCTTCCCCTTGGGATGGGTTTCCTGGGCATTCATCACCCCTCCACCTTCCCCTTAATGATGCTTGCCGTGGAATTCTGACCCCCTCACCCCAGGATGGAGGAAGGGGAGACAAGATGGATGGGAGGCTTTGTCCCTGCACAGGGAGTGGGATGGGGCTGGGCTGTGGGGAGGAGGTCTCGGGCTGTGGGGCTGGGGGGCTGCAGCAGGGAGGGGGGAGGTCTGTTATTGCTCTGAGTGGCCGCACTGCCCTTCACACACACACACGCTCAGGGTGGGATGCAGGCGGGGGGGGTCTCTCCAGGGCCCCCAGTCCTTGCCCGGGCAGCCTCTCGCCACCAGGGAGGGCAGGATGAGGCACTTCTGCTGCTGCCCGTGCAGAGGTCTGGCACGGAGGGCACTGAGCTGCAAATGCGGTGCTGCCACCGCACCCCCTGAGGTGTCTGCGGCTGCCTGCGGGGCCAGGCTGAAAACCAGGGGTACCACGGGGCAGCAGCAGCAGCATCAAGGGTGCCCCCCACCCTCTCCCCCCAGGCAGCCTGACCCCAGTGCCGGGGCAAGCATGGTCCGAGCTGTGTCCGTGTGGGATGGAGGCGCGGCTGGCGCAGGCCGCGGTCCCCGGCGGTGGCTGATAGTGGTCATGGCCCGCGGCGCAGAGCGCGGCGCGATCCGAGGCGCACCCCGGGGTCCCCCGGCACCAGGGCAGCGCTCAGCAGTCACGTCCCCTCTCCTTCTCTCCTGGGCAGCCCCGGCGGGGTCCTGGCCCTGCACGGCGCGGGGCCGCCGCGGTCACGCTCACATGCTGTCCGCCAGCTGGTGACAGTCCAAGTCCCCCTTCAGCTCCAGGAAACCCGGCAGCTTCACCCCCGTCTTGCGGTCCACACACCAGCACTTGCCCCGCTGCCCGTCCAGCGCCGGGTGACACTGTGGGATGGATTCGGTCAAGGACACCCAGCCTGCACCCCACGGCCATTCCCGTGGGCTGCCTGGCAACCAGGAGCTCTCCTGGGGACTTTACCACTCCCGTCCCACCTGGGGCTTTTCTAAAGGGCCCCCAGCACCCAAAGGGTGATTCCCACCAAAGCCAGGAGCCAGGCAGGCTCTGCCATGCCTTGTCACTGTCCCCTCCATCCATGTCCCACTCCCAGACTCACCCTGGCTCTACAAAAAGCCCAGTGCCCCAGTCCCCTGTGCTAGGTCAGAGCCCATCCTACCTGCTTGGGGTGGAAGTTGCCGTTGCGGTCGCAGTTGGGGATGGGGATGACGTAGAGGTCCTCGTGCGTCCGGGTCTGCGAGGCTGCCAGCCTCTCCAGCGCCCGGTGCAGCTCGCTCTGGCACGAGCCCTGTGCCTGGGGAAAGGGGGGCTGAGCTGGTCGCAGGGCTGGCACATGCTCCCGGCCCAGATCCCCAGGAACCCGACCCTGGAGCACCCACCCTGCCCTCCCCAGCCCTCCCGGTGCTCACCATGACCCGCGTGTCCTCGCGGTGGTGAGGGCTCCCGCTGCTGCGCATCTTGTTGCCGTTGTTGACCCTCTTCGCCTGCTGCTTCTGCAGGCACTTGCGGTCGTGGATGCTGCAGGGGCTGAAGCTGTTGTTGGGGTGGTCGATCTCCTCCTTCTCTGCAGAGACACAGACCAAGGGGACTCAGTGCCACAGGGCAGCCCTGAGGGTGGCAGAACCCCCACGGTGCCCCAGTCTCCACAGTGCCACTTGCACCCCAAGGAACAACATGGAGAGATTTCTGGCAGGCTCCACATCACCGTCTCTGGTCTCCACAGGTGTCACTCACAGCCCTGGGTCCATCCTACCCCTGCCACTGCACTGGGCTGAGCTCCCTGCAGCACTGGGAAGGACTCCTGGGAGTTTTTCCCTACTCATTAGCCACAACTAACAACTTGTTGCCGTGTGTCTGTTAGTGTAGGGTCACAAATGCCTGCTGTGAGTGCTGGGCAGTGGCTCCAGTGTGCTGGGTCTGGCTGTGCCCTTGCCAGCCACGTGTCACCAGGCACGAGGTGCACACCCACAGCACTGAAGCTACAGGCCTGGAAGCTGACTCTGGGATAACGAGCTCCAGAAGGCCCCTCGTGCCCCCCAAAATCTGTCTCTAGGAGCTGCAGTGGCAGTGGAGGCACCAGGGCGGTGCTGAGCCCCCGCCAGGCCCGGGGCGGCACCGGGCGCCACGGCCGGGAGTGGAGCCGTGCTCTGCTGCGAGGAACGGCCCTCGCCAAGACATGAAAGAAGAAATTCCTGGAATAAGAAAGTTAATCTCCCACGGGGCCGATCCCAAAAGGCGGCACTTGGCATTCCCGCCTGCGCCAGGAGCGCAGCCAAGCTGCCGGCCCAGATGTTGGCAGCTGGACAGAGTGTCATGAGATGAGTGCTCGGCGTGACTTTAGTTTTTAAAGAGCTGCCGGTTCCTCTGGTTTGGGGCCCGTGAAGACTCTGTGGAGGGGGGACACCCCTGGAACCAGGGTTCCTCCTGCACTCAGAGCTGCGCCAGGCACAGCCCAAGCAGTGTTTTTCCCCCCAGTCCACCTGTGCTGTGCAGGGAAGTGGCTGAGGTTATCGTGGGGTTGGTCTTAAACAAATCAATATTGCAGCTGGCAGCAGGGAAAACCTTCCCAAACCGGGCAGAGGGTGGTCACTGTCGAGGGTCACACCCAGGGGTTCAGATTGCAAGGACAGGGGCTGCTGGGTGACCCTGGCATTAGCCCTTCCCACAGGTAGGCAGAGGGGTCGGAGCTGCAGCTTCCTGCCCAGAGTATCCCCACAGCATCCCGCTCCTGATCTCTTGCCATGGTCTCTGCAGTGCAGGGCTCCTGGCCCAGCTCCTGGGGGCCTGGTTAAAGTCCAGAGTGAAGCCCCAATCAAAGACCCCTCCCTCGTGGGTGTTATTTGCTTTTTGCTTAATCTGTCCATTTTTTCCAGGAAATAGCTCATGCCCTTGAAATTTGAAACACGAACCCAAAGTCTCCAGGACCCTGCACAGAGCAGTGCCAGCGCCAGCCCCGGCGGCACCAACCATGAGGCTGTGGCGCAATGGGGCGCTGGTGGCAGAGCCCCGCCGGGTGCTCGGGGCTTCTGGCAAGGATGCTCCTTCCCTCCCTGGATCCCTGTGGGGAGAGGCGCAGGAAGAGCTGGGCAGATTTGCCAAAATTCCTGCACCTCCACGCGCTGCTCCCACGCCATGCAAAGGCAGGAGCGGGAGGCACCGGCGCTGCCCCTGCAGGGGAAGCCCTCACCGATCACCCCCCTCCTTCCCCCGCCAGCTGCCTCCAGAGCATCGAACCTCCCGGCTTAAATAAAACCAGATGCCAATAACATTTTCATAAGGTCACATGAAACGCCGGTGCCTCCGGGCAGCGAGGCGGCTCCTGACAGTGCCCGGCTCTCCCCATCCCTCCCTGCCACGCTGGGGTTACTGTCCCCCTGCTGAGTGACACACAGCAGCTCAGGGAACCTCTCGCCTCCCTGGAAATCCGACTGGACCAGAAAACTCGCCCTCAGCACAAAGACTTGGGAAAAGCAATGTGTGTGGAGCCCAGAGCTGCCACAGCCCACACTGCCCTGGTGCCACCCAATCTGCCGTTTGTGCAAGGGCACCACCACCCTGGAGGGATGGAGGGTAGGGGGGTCCCGATCTGGCCAAGGGAAGCTTCTCTGCCCACTTTGGAAAGGAAGTGGGTGCCAAGGGGATGGGAGAGGGGCTGACCTCGCTGGACACATAAAAGAGCCGCCTGTCCTGGGAGGAGGAGCATTCCTGCCGGCCTGTGGACAGGGGACACAAACGAGTCATTCAGCATCGCCTTCAATTAACGGGAGCTGCAAATGAGGTTGGTCATGTGCCGAATTTGTGATTCACAGCGCTAAGCCCGAGGGAGCAGTGAAGGGCTCCGGCTCCACCGCGCGGATCCCGTGGGAGCAGAGCCTGGGGCAACCAGCAAAGCTCTGGGACCTCGTGTGTGTGCCCATGGGGACAGACAAATGTCACTGACCCCACAGCTCCAGCCCCGCTCCCCCTTGTGCCACCAGCCCGAGTACCAAGGACCTCATACGCCTCAAAGGGCGGCAGGGACATCCACGTGTCTGTGTCACAAGCTACAGTGAGCCCCAGCACCCTCCATGTCCCTGTCCAGTGTCCTTGGTGTCACCTGTGGGTGGTCCTGGCAGGACCGTGGCAGTGCTGGCTCTTGGCTTCCTGGGCTCTGGACGTGGCAGCACCAGCACTGGGAGGGCCACGCTCTTTTTGCCAAGTGCTGGCTCTGGCAGAACGTGGGGAGGCAGGGATAGGGGTGGCAGGGGCACAGGCACCGGGCACCTACTGCCCCTTGGCCTGGGATGCCAGCTGGGAGCTTGGCCCGTCCCCATGCCAGGACACAGTGCCATGCTCAAACACGACTGAGCACCTCCCACCTCAGTGCCCAATGCGGGACCGAGGGAGGGGAGGTCAGGATGCAGCAGAGGGAGTAAGGAGTGCAGATGCAGGTGATTCCCCAGAGGGACCAGAACCTTGCCAGGAGCAGCACCCAGGCTGGAGAAACCCAAGCGTGGATGAGCCCCCACTCCAGGAGAGAGATGGGACACAGCTGAGCCTTGACTGGCAGAACCCAGCCTGTCCTCCCTGCCTGTGCACTGTCCAGCCATGGCTCAGCCATCACCATTCCTCCCAGTCACTGCACAGAGAAAGGAAACAGGATCTGTCCCAGCTTACAGAGACCACACGGGATGAACACAGCTCCCATAGGTCAGGTTTTCCCAGACATAATCATTTACCCAACACTAAATCACTCATCATGTGTGCGGGGGAATATGTCCTCACCTCCTCCTGGCTGCCACACATGGGCTCAGCCACCACCACCCGCCAGCTGTGATGGAAAGGCAGGGCTGGGACCTTCCGGAGCTCTGGCCGAGGAGTGGGATCCCAAAGCCAGCCATGAGCTGGCAGGGACAGCGTCCAGTACAAGGTGCCCAGACAATGGAAGAGAGTCTCGAATCAGGCAAGCAGCCACCGCTCCCTCACCTCCTTAGAGTCACATCCTGTGGGTGCCACAGGTCCCGGGTGAGCAGAGAGCCTCTTCTGGCTATGGAGTCGGGAGCCATGCCTAACCGTTCAGAAAGCTCAGCCTCAGCCCAGCCCCCTGATCCCAGCCTCTTCCCTGGAATGCGGAGCCCCCCGGACAGAGCCCCCAGACAAAATGTTTACTGTAGGAGCTGCGCGTTAACCGCTTCCCAGCCGCCGGCACCCGCTGGGGCTGTGGGCACAGCCGGGGGCACCTGCTCCGAGCACCCCTGCCCCTGAACGGGCATTTCATTCCCTTCTGCTGATCCCGAGGGGACACATCAGAGGCACCGGCCGTGCCAGGGTGCCCTCGCTGTGCCAGGCAGAGCTGCAGAGGAGCCTGCAGCCCCCAGCCCCACACTCCCACTGTCCCCGAGGTGCAGAACAGATCAGGGACCCGCGGGGGATGGACCGCTGGGACTGCATCGAGCAATTTGCTGCGGGTGTCCTGCCCACATCCTGACGGGCTGTTGGGGACCCAGGGGCTCCTACTGCCCTCTCGCCCATCCTGCTGCCTGGGACGCTGCTGGCTAGCACAGTGCCCGGCAGGCGACCCGGCTCCCATAGCCACCCACCCATCCCCAGCCAAGCCAAAACACCGCGGGAAGGAAGGGAAAAAATGCAAGTCTGTTTCCTAAAGGCTCTGGGAAAAAATGTTGCATTACACAGGGCACGGCCAAAACCAACAGGGCTTGGCAGCACGGCGCAGCCCCGGGCCAGGGAGCCCAGACAGCTCCTGCAGGATGTGGGATGAGGACAGACAGGCAGGACAGGGGGGCTCCAAGCACTCCCAGCCAGCTCCTGTCCCAGCAGGGGGGTGGCTAAAGGGGCCTATCCACGAACTCATCACAGCGGGGACACCAGAGGAGCTGCCATGGATCAGACATGCAAGGAGGGAGTGGAACTGGGATTCAGCCCCCCAGATGGGCAGGGATAAACATTGCTCCAGTCCCTTCTGCCCCTCAGGGAGCGCCAAGTGACCCCATGTGGGGACCCAGGGTCAGGCCAGACCAGGCTGTAGATTGTTCTGGGATGATGCTCCCCCAGCTTCAGGTGACATGGTCCTGGTCACAGCCTGCAGGATGGGAAAGGGGGACCATGAATGGTCCAGGTCCCCACACTCAGTCCCTGGGAGCAGTCTCATTGCCATGGTGTGACCTGCACAGCTCTGGGGTGGGTTCCCACTGCCAGCTCCACTCTCAGACCCCAGGTCCTGCCCGAGCACCATGGGCATGGCAGAGGGCCACCATCACCACCTGCAAGGCAGACAGAGCACCCCAGCAGCAGCTCCTCCAGCCTGGCCCTGCCTGCACCCGCTGCCCTGGCACGGACAGACACAGCTCCCACACAGCGCCCGGCTGGACCTGCCTGCAGGGAAGCAGGTGCCCCGTGGCCTCTTTCCTGCTTCCCCCCGGGCACTGCAGCCAGATCTGTCAGCAGCATCCCAGGGGTCACTGTGCAACGGGAGCTTCCCTGGCAGCTGGGATGTGTCCCCAAGGGCTGCAGGTGCTCGCGGGCCACGTTGCAGCCAGGGCACAGCAGGTGAAGCTTCACCTCTCCAGCACATGTGGAGCCAGTGGCCGTGACACTGCTGTGCCCTTTACGGTGGGTAATGATGGCACAAACGTGAACCACTTGTACCAGGTCTCCTGCAGCCTATCTTTGCTCCCTCCCTGGAATATGCTCCCTGCATTCACATCCTGTGCTGTCCCATCCTATCCTGCCTCTTAGAGTCATGGAATTGTTTGGGCTGGAAGGGACATTAAAGGCCACCCAGTTCCACCCTCCTGCCATGGGCAAGAACACCTTCCACCAGATGAGGTTGCTCCAAACCTCATCCCACCTGGCCTTGAACACTTCCAGGGGTGGGGCATCCAGAAATATTCTGGGCAACCTGTGCCAGAGCCTCACCACCCTCACAAGGAGGAATCTCCTCCTAACATCTAAGCTAAATCTTCCCTTTTTAGTTTAAAATCTTTCCCCTTGCCCTGTCACAATCTATCGGTGTAGAAGTCATTCTTCATAATTTTTATCAGCTCCCTTTAAGTATGGGAAGGTCCCTCATGAGTCCAATCCTGTGGCCACGGCTCTTGCCGAGGGAGCAGGGAGTGGGTTGGTGCCAACAGGGGTTTGTGCCACTGCCCCTGTGAGGGACAAGGACCCCCAGGCACCCACCCAGGGCACCCACCCTGGGCACCCACCCTCTGCCGCCCCTCCGCCGCCTCACCTGGGGGCTGGAGGCTCTCCTGGATGGCCTCGACGTCGGCCAGGTCAGTGCAGATGCCCTGGCCGTGCATGAGGGTGCGGAGGGGCCGGGGCTCGCCGCGGGGCGGGTAGCAGCGGAGCCCCGCACCGCAGCGCGCGGTGTAGACGCCGCAGGCGGTGCCGCGGGGCAGCGCGCAGGTCGCGCAGCAGCCGCAGCCCGGTTCCCGCACCAGCTCCGCGCAGCCCTGCGGAGCCTTGCACCGCGCCAGCCGCTCCTCCGAGCACGGCGGGCACTGGATCGCCTCCTCGCCGCTGCCCGGCCGCGCCGCCGCCGCCAGCAGCGCCAGCACCACCGGCAGCACCGGCAGCACCGGCAGCCCCGGCAGCCCCGGCCCCGGGCGCATGGCGGCCCCGCTCCGGCCCCGCTCCGCGGCGCTCGGCTGGCGGCGGGCGCGGGGCGGCGGCGGCGGCTTTATGCGGCTTTATGCGGCCCCTGGCCACACCTCCCGCCGCCGCCACCGGGGCCACCGGCGGGGCCGCCCCCGTCGCCACCGGGAGACCACCGGGCGGCGACGCTCCCCCCGGCGGCGGCCACACCGGTAGCGGCACTGCCGGTGGCTTCGGCGGCGAGGCCACCGGCGGGGCAGCCCCGGCGCTGGGCAGTGCGGAGAGCCGGCCCGGAGCCCCCGGCCCCGCGCCAGCCACCCGAATCACCCGCCTCCTCCACCCCTGCTCGGTACCGAGAGCAGCCGGGATGAGCGGGGGTCACACCGTGCGGGGCTGCAGCGCGGGGAATGCGGCCGAGACCCCCGGGGTGGGCTCCAGGCTCCGGGTGTGGGGGGCCCTGGTGGGCGGAAAAGTGCTGCTGACAACGGAGCATCCCGCACGGCTCGGCCCCGGTGTGTCCGGGACGGCCCAGGGCGGCCCCGCCGGCTCCCCGAGCCCACCTGCCCCCGGTTCCGCAGCCGCGGCCCCCCGCGCCCCCCGCCCCGCACAGCCCGGGATAGGTTGAAGGCTGCCGGCACCTAGCGGCTACTCGGGAAAAGCGGGAGCGGGCGGAAGCTCCGGCTGCCTCCTGGGACCTCGACCCCGTCAGTCCCCGCAGCACCGGGCGAGGGCGGGAGCCCGGAGACGGCGGGGAGCAACCCCTGTGCCCGCGGGACAGTCCCCGATCATCACCCGGGGTCAGCGACCCCCGAGCTGTGCCCTGGGGCATCGCAGGCATCGCAAACATCTGGTTTGGGGCAACTGGAGGGACCTGTCTGGATTGGTGAGGGGGTGGTGGGCATCACAGCGGGGTCTTGGGCACAGCACGGGTGTCTTGGGAACGGCAGGGGGGCCCTGGTGTGGGGGTCAGTGCAGCGGGTGGGACAAGAGGAGCAGCGCCCGTCATGCAGGGCCTGGGCTGAGAACCCCGAATTCATCTCATAGGTGAGTACATCCAGTGCTCAAACGGGCATTTTGAGGCTTGAGTGACAGCACTGGTGGCATTGCCACCAGGGCTCTCAAGACCATCTTCTCTCTCCCATGCAGGTGAGTTTGGCATCAGCAAGTGAAGGCAAGACAGTGGGAAAAGAGGGTCTATGCCCCCCACACCCCCCAGGCCCCACAAGGTCCCATCGCACATCACTGTTCTGAGCCCCTGCCCTGCCTGGCACTGCTGCACAGTGGCCGTGACTCGGGGCAGAGGCACCAGCCTTGACTCAGTGTCCCAGCAGAGACCAAACCCAAACAGGTGCCCAGTCCCGCTCAGGCTGTGGCACCTTATCAGGCCTTGGCAGCACTGAGTGCCCGCCAGGAGACTGTTGTGTCTGCGGGCAGAGGCAGCGCCAGTGGGGCACGCAGGGGAGGACAGTGTTCCCTCACCTCTGCCCAGGCACTGCTCCCCCAGCTCCCTGTCCCAGCACCATCCTGTACAACAGAGTGGGGCTGGGCTGGTGCCCCCCATAGTTGTGCTGCCCCCACCCCAACCACAGCTCTGAGGCCACGCAGGGGCTCATGCTGGTGTTTGGTGCCCAGTGTAGCCCAGGCCCTTGCCTGGGACAGCCCCATGCTCCCAGTCCTTGATGGGGAGCTCTTTGGGATTCCCGGGGCTGTGGGGGCCCACACTGGCTGCTGCTCCTCAGCCACACACCCCAGCAGGGTCTGGAGCTGCCGCAGCCCTGGGGGGACATTGCAGGCTGGCAGGAGGCAGGAGCAGGAGGGGGCTGGGGGCCAGAGAGGGCTGTAACCCCCATCTGAGTGTGGCTCTGATGAAACCAGTGAGACCCCTGGCCCTTTGGACATCCTTTGGGACACGGTGCAGGACTCCAATACCTCCTGCCTCCAGACACCAGCAGCAGGACAGACCTCAGGGAGGACCTGCAGCCAATGCCCTCTGTTCTCAGCCAGCCCCCTCCTCCACTGGATTTACTCCCCATTTCCAGGCAGCTTCTCCTCCCCAGCCCTCCCTTGCATCCATTCTGGCATCTCCTCCTCACCCTGGCTCCCTTCCTGTGGTTCCCCCTCTCCCTGGGCTGGCAGGACAGCCGGTGACCGGGCTGCGTGGGTGCTCAGCACCCGCGGGTGCGGTCCGTGGGTGCGGGGCGGGCCGGGGGCGTGTCGGGGGCCGCCGATAACAGCGGGCGCCGTGCCGGGGCCGCGGGACCAGACGGCGCAGGCGAGTGGGACGAGCCAAGGACCCCCATCCTGGGCAGCCGGGCCCCGAGGCAGCGGAATGGGGTCCAGCACCCCGCTGCGACTCCTCCGCACCCTCTGCATCCTCTCGGCGCTGGCCAGGTGCCTGCAGCCTGCCACGGCCCAGTGGTTTTCCCTGGGCTCAGAGGACACCACCCCGGATCCAGGCACCAGCCCCATGCCCCCCAGCCCGGATGGGGAGGAAGGTAGGCACAGCGGGATGGGGACTTGGCTTTCTCAGCACCCCAAATTTCTGTATCTCAGCGTGGATGAGGAGTGTGGAGGGTGATGTGTGGGGTACCAGGGTCTAGGGCTGCTGGTGGCACTGCTGTGGCCAGGGCAGGTGCTGGGAACTAACTGGGAGTGCTGTGCCACCCTGGTGCCCCTCCAGCCCTGCCACCTCCCATCCCAGCACTCCTTTGCTCCTGCAGACACAGATGCCAGCGTGGAGCCCGTGGGGAAGTTGCTGCTGAGCAAACCTCCTCTGCCAACAGCCCCTAAACGCCGGGACCAACTCTCCAGGGGGGCAGCGAAGGGGTCAGGCCGTGCCCCACCGCGCACACGAGGCCAGGTGCTTTTTCCCTGGGCAGCGAGCCCCCTCCAGCTCCTCCAGCCCTCCGAAACTCCCCAGCTGCTGCCACGCTCCTTGCCATGTCCTTCCCCTTATCCGTGCCCTGCTTGCACCCAGCAGCCCGGCACCAAGCCCTGCTCCAACCCCCAGCTAAACTCTCAGCTCCCTCTGCCCCCTTGGAAAGAAGTCATGGCAGCCCCCAGTGTCCCCTCACATGGGGCAGACCCACAGCTGCGCTGGGGTTGGGCCCCCACGCCGGGCTGAAGGCAGCCCCGACTGGGGAAGGGTCTCACCTGCCCCCCAGGATCCCCCCGAGCCCCTCACTGAGTAGTCCCCATCTGTCCCAAGCAGCACCGACCCACGGCCGCCCCGGAGATCTTTGAGGGGAGCGCAGTGGAAGAGGAATTCCTGCAGATCCAGGTGGTGGAGGGGTCCTGGTCCCCGGGGAGGTGTCGGGGACAGCCTGGGATGGACACCGGGACAAAGGGCTCTGGAAGTCACGGGCTGTCAGCGGGGAGGGGATGGGGACGGTGGGAGTGGGGAATGGGGATGGTGCTCAGGGATCTGGCTCTCAGCCCCTCCTCTCCTCGCACAGACGACGGCCAAGGGGCTGCCCCGGCGGGTCCCGGAGACGGACCCGACCCTCCAGGTGAGAGGTGGGCGCGGGGCAGCCGTGTCGGAGCCGTCAGACGGGGCTCCAGCCCCACGGCTCAGGGCTGCTCTCTCCTTTTCCAGCTGCACAACATCTCCGGCTGTGTCTGCCCCGTGCGCCCCGGTCCTCCTGGCCCTCCCGGCCCAAAGGTGCTGTAGTCCTCCCGCAGGGACAGAGGGACACACCGTGCCAAATCCTGATGGTCTTTTGTCTGTGCAAACCCCTTTTTGCTCAGGATTTGCTCTAATTTTGGGGTCTGGGTTGAGAAGTGACTCAGGTGGCCCCAGGGAGGGAGCGAGCAGGTGCCCGGGTGGGCTCCAGGGGAGCCAAGTGCCAGAAGGTGCAGCCAGGCTCTGAATTTCCCCGACAGGGAGAGAAAGGTGACCGAGGGTTCCCTGGAGAGAGAGGCCAGCCCGGATTCTTAGGAGAGAGAGGGAAGTCCGGCAGCCCAGGACAGCCAGGTCACCAGGGTCCTCGGGGCCCTCCGGGTCCTCCGGGACCCCCGGGGCCCCCAGGACCCCCGGGCGCCTGGGGAGCCCGGGGCCCACCCGTGCCTGCTGCACTCCCTGAGAGATCAGAGAACGAGGTGAGCACCGGAGCAGGAACAAGGGCAGGTGGTGCCGGTGCCACCCAGCGGGACTGGCGGGGTGGGGAGGACTGGGACGTGTGGCTGTTGGGGTGGGCAGGGGGACCAGGGGATGCGAGATGGCAGCTCATTGACTCTGCTCCCTCTTCCCTCTCCCTCCAACCTGACAAGCAGCTGGGAGGCTCCAGCCCTGCAGGAAACCCAGGACCCCCAGGTCCCCCCGGGCTGCCTGGCATGCCCGGACCCCCCGGCTACCCAGGCCACGATGGCCCCCAGGGTGCTCCTGGGCGGGAGGGAAAGCCAGGACCCCCAGGCCCTCCAGGAGCAGTGGGGCCACCTGGTTTCCCTGGGGCTGAAGGACTTCCAGGGTCTCCAGGCTCAGCTGGACCAGATGGACCCCCTGGGGCACCGGGACTCCCAGGGCCTCAGGGTCCCCCGGGCATGCCTGGGCACGAAGGACCCCCTGGTCCCCCAGGATCTGCATCACTCCCTGGCAAACCAGGGCTCCGAGGGGAGCCAGGATTCCCAGGACCAAAGGTAAGGAGGTCCCAGCCCAGCATGTCCATGGCCCTGGGGTGGGATGGGGTACCTGGGCTCACCAGCCCCCAGCCCTGCCCTGGGGGAGCAGCCCCATTCCCCAGCCCTCAGAGTGCTCCAGGACTGCTCCAGTCCTGCCCCTGAGGGGCCCGGGGAACAGAGGGGCTCAACTCCACACTCACCACCCTGTGCCATCTGCCCTCAGGGTGAGAAGGGCGAGTATGGGCTGCCAGGCATGCCAGGGAGCCCTGGCCGGACCGGAGAGCCAGGGTCCCCGGGCATGCCCGGTCCCATGGGGCCACCAGGACCACCAGGGGACTCCAGGGTGAGTAGGGGGTCCCGAGCTGTGGGTCCTGGCTGGGGGGAATGCCAGTGTCACCCCACACATCCTCTCTTGGCAGTGCGACTCACGCCACGCTGGACACCGTGGATTGGCCGGGCTGCCGGGCCCCAAGGTGAGCTGGAGTCCTGGAGAGGGAGCATGGCACAGCACTGGCCATGGCACCCTGGGCAAACAGCTCCGTGGTGGGTGGTACCCTGGCTGTGAGACACTGCACTGCCCGTGGGGGTTGGGAGGCCTGGGGACCCCCAGAGCTGGGCACTCACAGGATCTGTCACTTCCCTTCCAGGGAGAAAAGGGCGACCCTGGAGAGCCGGTTTGTAGCCACCAGCAGCACTGCGGGGGGGGGTCCCATCCCCACACCTGAATGTGCCCCCCTGAGCCCTCTGTGCTGACTTTGCTCCCCCAACACCCTTCACCCACCCCCGGGGCACAGGGTGTGGGAGGAGACACACCATGGCACACACGGGGCACACATGTGCACACCTGTGCAACCCATAAACATCCCCAGCACACCCCAGACCCACCCCCAGCCTCAGCACAGACTCTAATCCTGCCTCTCTCTGCGGCTCACCCAGGGGTGCTGCTATGGGGAACACGGGTGCAAACCAGGGCACCTCCCCTTCCCCAGCACTGGCAGCCAGCCCGGCTCATGGGGGGCCATCAACAGGTACCAGACGGTGAGTGGCCAGGGGAAGGGGTGCCCAGGGACCCCAGCCCAGCCCTGGGGACATGGTTCACCCCACTGGCAACCCCACAGGATGGGGTTGGAGGAAGGAGAGGAGGAGAATGGAAAATGGAGAGAGGGAGGATGGAGATCTATCTGAGTCTTCTCTCTCTTCCTTTGCAGGATGGGAAAGATGAACCAGAGATTTATGGAGCGATCATCCCTCATGTGAGAGTTCCTGCCTGGCCCGTGTCTGAATGCCCCAGGGACATTCAGCCCTGGGAGGGGACAGGAGTGGGAAGCGTGGAGGACATCAATTGGGTGTCAGAGCTGCCCCACTAAAAGGCAGCACCAAAACAGCCAAGTTCAATCTCCACACTGCTCTACCACAGGGTCTTCAAGGTCCCCCTGGGAACCCCGGTCCCCCTGGGCCCCCCGGCCCCCCTGGCCCACCAGGTCTCCTCTACCTCAACGTAAGGCCCAGCACTGGTGTGCACACGCCTGTGCCAGAGCACACACACGTGTGAGTGTGCACAGCACCAGGGCCCCCCCAAACCTGCCTGTCTTTGCTTGCAGAGGATGCACCCCGTGCATGCCCAGCCGCCCTGCAAGCAGCCGGTAAGCCACGGCCTCGCTGCCCCAAGAGTGCCCCCATCTCCTCCCTGTGCATCAGGGGGGTGTCCCTTTCCCTGTGCCCAGCAGCAGACACTGGCTCTGTTTGCCTTCACAGGCACCTGCAGATCGCAGCTGGCCATCAGGTGAGGAGGTTTCCCAGGTGTTTTGGGGGCTCCAGCCTCCTTGGAGACATCTTTGCTGAAGTCTTGCCTCCCTTCCTTGGGTGCCGGGTCCCTGGCACCACTGCTGGCTCTCCCACCCACTCCCACCGCATCCCTGTGGGGCCAGCTCCCATGGGAGCATCCAGGCCCTATGCTGGGACACCTGGTGACCCCCCACCACCATCTCTGGGCTCTCCAGATGCTGGTGCCCCTCAGACAGAGCCGCCGGACTCCCGCGCTGATCTCCGGGTGCGTCCAGGCTGCGGCCCCAGGCAAACCCCCCCAGCTGCCCCGTGCCCCACAGCAGGACCCTCACCCTCTGCCTTCCCCCAGCGCCAGACGTGGGTTTTCAAGTCCAAGGAGCTGATGGTGAAGGCCAGCAGTGCTGTGCCCGAGGGGAGCCTGGTCTATGTGCGGGAAGGGAGCAACGCCTTCCTCCGGACCCCCTCTGGCTGGAGCCGCCTGCTGGTACCGTGTGGGGTCCCTGGCAGGGCTGGGGGGGCAGGATCCAGGGCTGGACTTGGCACTAGGGCAGCAAATCCTCAGGAAGGAGAGGATTCCCCCTAAGCTGTCCCTCTGCTTGTGTCATTGAGCAGCTGGAGGATCCCAAGTGGGTTTTGGCTGGTGATGACCCTTCTGCCTCCACCCCACAGTACCAGGTGAGGGCTGCAGGAGCTGCCAGGTCCACTCATGTCCCTGTAAGGGGACAGAGCCCTCCTCTGCATGATGGAGTGGACAGACCTCACAGGGCTGTTCTCTCCTTCTTCTTCCACCTCTCCATCCAGGAGGTGAAGAGGGTGCAGCCAAGAGGTCCCAACACGCTGTCACTCTTGCAGTCTCCAACAGACTCACTGGTGAGCCCTGCTGAGGGTCTGGCCATGCTGGGAGGGATGTGCTGGAGCATGGGCTGGATGCAGGGCAGTGCCAGCTCAGCATGAGCAGAGCCTGGGGTTGTGTTGGCCGGGGGAGGGTGCCCCCAAGACATGGAACACGGATGGGTGTCCCCAGACTGACCTGAGCTGTGTTTTTGCAGATCCAGAAGGAGGAGGAAGAAGGGCTGCCCCAGATTCTGCCAACCACCACGGCCCCACGGATCCCATCTGTAAGGAATGCCTGGCCCCAGGGTGGGGATGAGCAACCAGTAATGGGAGACGGGGGAGAGGTGCCCAGGGGACCCCCAATTCTGACCAGCACTGCCAGAGGCTCACACCCTCTGGGAAGAGGGGAACAGAGACCTCAATTCCTCCCTGCCACCCCCAGCTCCGCCTGGCTGCCCTCAACGTGCCCCTGTGGGGTGACATGAGCGGGATCCGGGGCGCTGACCTGCAGTGCTACCGGCAGTCACAGGAGGCCGGGCTCTACGGCACCTTCCGGGCCTTCCTGTCAGCCCCCAGCCAGGACCTGCTGTCCATCGTCAAGCGGACAGACAGGACCCTCCCCATCGTCAACCTGAAGGCAGGTAGCCCGTCCCCAGGGGGCTGGGGTGGCACAGCCTCACAGCCCCCGTGAGCTGCGGTGGGTGGGGGACGCCCACCCAGTCCCGCTGCCATGCTCAGGGATTTGGGGAGCTGGCAGAACAGAGAGGATGTCATTGCCCACACCTGCTGGGGACAAGGGCACTCCCCTGGCCCCTGGCTCAGCACCGTGGCTCGTGCCTGCAGGGGCAGCTGCTGGCCAAGTCCTGGAGCTCCCTTTTTGGGGGTCAGTCTGGTGCTGTCCTGCAGGGTCCCATCTACTCCTTCAACGGGCGCAACGTCCTGGCAGATCCCCTCTGGTGAGTGTGGACAGGTCCTGGCTGGATGTCCCCGTGTGGGAGCTGCAGTGGGGCTCTGTGCTGGCTCCCTCCCTGCAGAAGTGCAGGAGCAAAGAGCGGGGGTGCCCCAGGGTGCCCCTCTCACCCCATCGCCACCCACAGGCCCCACCGGCTAGCCTGGCACGGCTCCACGCCACGGGGCGGCCATGCCCGCCGGTGGGACTGCCAGGGCTGGCGCAGCTCTGGCACGGCCGAGGGCATGGCTGCTGCCCTGGGCGAGGGCCGGCTGCTGGCTGGCCAGCGCCACAACTGCTCCGCACCGCTGGCCGTGCTCTGCATCGAGGTGGCTTTTCCTTACCGGCACATGTGGTGACAACGGTGACACGCAAGCAGGAGCTCCAGGCAGTCCTCCAGGCCTGTGTGGCTGGGGAATGTCCCTGGGAGCACCATGGGAGCACTGAGGGGACACTGGGTCTGCAGCCAGGCTGTGCCATGCCCAGCCCCGGCTGCACCATCCCATAGATCCCTGTGCCATGGGGCAATGCTAGGCTGTGCCTGCAGCCTCCTACCCCCACTGGAGCCAACACGGTCACCGCCCAGAAATAAAGACACAAAAATGTTGGGTTTTATGATACCATGCTTTGTTCTGGGGGCACACGGCAGCAAGGGGCTGAGGGGACACACCTGGGAATGGGAACAGGGACTGGAGGGGCTGGGAGCAGGCTCCAGTCCCCTGGGGATTGGCAGTAACTGGGAGGGGACACCCTGGCACAGGTCTGCATGTCAGCAAGGTCTGTGTTTTGGTCTCAGAACCCAGTGGGTTGCCAAGTCTTGCTCAGTGTATTCCTGTGGGTTCCCGAGGCCCTCCCAATGTATCCCAGTGGGTGTCCAAGGGGTTGGACATTTTGTCCACTGAACCCCAGTGATTCCCAATGTATCCCAGTGCATGTCCAGGGTCTCTCCAGTATCCCATGTCCAGGGTCTGTCCAGTGTCCCAGTCCAATGGGTCCCAGTGAATCCCTGGGGCTTGCCCAGTGTGTAGCAGTACCCCAGTGGGTCCACAGAGTTTGTCCAGTGCATTCCAGTGTGTGTCCGGGGCTTCCCAGTGTTTCCCAGTGTATCCCAGTACGTCCCAGTGTATCCCAGTGCGTCCCAGTGTATCCCAGTACGTCCCAGTGTATCTCAGTGTGTCCCAGTACGTCCCAGTGTATCCCAGTACGCCCCAGTGTATCCCAGTATGTCCCAGTACGTCCCAGTGTATCCCAGTACGCCCCAGTATATCCCAGTACATCCCAGTACGTCCCAGTGTATCCCAGTACGTCCCACCACCAACGGCAAACGGGCAGCCTCGGCGCCCTCGCTCTCGCTTCTCTATTGGTCAATCCTGCTGTCCATCTCATCGCTCTCCCTCCCGACTGGCCGGTTTGAACGCGCGGTGAGGCCTCTGATAGGTCAGAGGGCGGGCAGAGTTCTAGCCGTGTGCCCGCCCCCGCTCCGCGATTGGCAGAGCGCGGGGGGCCGCGAGCGGGGATTGGCCGCGCGTTTCGGCGGGACGAGCGGAGGTTTGAAGGGGTCGTTGGCGCTGCCATCGCCGCCTCAGCCGCTCTCGCCGCCGCCGCCGCCGCCGCCATGGAGCTCTCGCAGCCCTCGTCACCCCTCCGGGTGCGTCCTGCCACCACCGCTGCCCCCGACCCTGCGCAGCTTCGTGATCAGCCCCCACACCGTCCTCTCGGGCCCCCCTCAGCCCCGCCGGGCACCCGCAAGTTCTCCCCAGCCTCCCTCAGCGTTTCCCCGGGTCCTTTTCAGCCCCCCTTGGGTCTCCCTCAGGGTATCCCCAGGCCCCTCTCTCGGCTCTTTTCCCAGCCCTCCCTCTCCTCTGCGACTCCGGTCCTCTTCCCTTCCCGGCCTGGCCCCTCGTGTTCGTGCCCCCTGTGCGCCCCTCACCGCCGCTGCCTCTCCCCCACAGCCCGTGAAGGAGAACGTCCTCGTGGGCAAGGCCGATGGCCCCAAGAAGCTCACGGTGGAGCACATCTACCAGAAGAAGACGCAGCTGGAGCACATCCTGCTCCGGCCAGACACCTACATCGGCTCCGTGGAGCTCGTCACCCAGGTGGGAGCAGGGGGCAGCGAGGCTGAGCCCCCCGAGCCCCTCGGGGCAGGCGGGGAGTCTTTAGCAGCTGTTTACAAAGCACAAAACATCTGCTTATCAATCACAAAACAACTGCTTTACAAACTGATGCGCACAGAAGAGGGGTTGTATCTGGGCACTTACACATTCCTTCTTTTTTTCCCAGCAAATGTGGGTTTTTGATGAAGGCGTTGGCCTCAACTGCAGAGATGTGACCTTTGTGCCTGGCTTGTACAAAATCTTTGATGAGATTCTGGGTAAGCTGACATCCATTGAGTCAGTGAGTGACGGGTTATTAACGGGGGTTGAATGGAAGAAACTGGAACTAAATATAAATTGGCAAGAACTTATTAGCACTGATTAATAGCAAGCCATTCATTTGAAACAAAGAAAAATTTCAAAAATCTAATTACAAACCTGATTTCATTCTGCCCAAAATTCTCCTTTTTATGTCAATGGTTGCACTGAAGGAATTCAGAGGTCATTTCCAACCTTCATAATTCCATGATAACTTGTACTCCTCTTTGTAATTTGCAAAATATTTTCATGCTGAGATGATTATTAGTAACACTGTAGTGACTTTTTGTGTTCATTCTACTGGAACACTTTATAATTCATCATTTTCCCTTGATTGAGAACAAAATAAAAAACCAATATTCTCTTTCCTTCCTAGTGAATGCTGCAGACAACAAGCAGAGGGATAAAAACATGTCATGCATTAAAGTCACAATTGATGTGTAAGTTTGATTTCGTTGTTGTTGGCTGCCTTCAGCTGTTCTGCAAAGCTGAGGTGGCACTGTGGGGCTGATCCGAGATAGCCCAAATTTAATTCACCAGTTGTGGAAAGCCTTTCTCTCTGCTTAGTTCCCCATGTCTCTTACAGAGGCCTGACTGGGGAAATGGCTGCTCTTGCGTTGCTGTGGTTTTCCACCTCTTCCTCTCTCTTTTCATCCTGATTGAGCACAGACAGGGGGGTTTTGTGTGTGGGTCCATTTCAGAGCCGACATGTGCAGATCTGGGCATTTCTGTGTTGCCTGTCCCCCCTCTGCTGGCAGCTGCTGCACTTGCTGAGCACAGATTTGTTCCTGGTGAAATGGTGCCTCTCCCCCAGAGTCTTTTGGTGACTTCTTTCACAGCTCAGCCATTTGCAGCCTTAAAAACAGACTTTTCTTTCCCTCCCCAGAGAGAATAACACAATCAGTGTGTGGAACAACGGGAAAGGTATCCCAGTTGTTGAACACAAAGTGGAGAAGGTCTATGTGCCTGCTATGATCTTTGGACAGCTGCTGACATCCAGCAACTACGATGACAATGAGAAGAAAGTCACAGGTGAGGAAGGCTCAGATATGCACCAAGTGTGTGACCTGAACTAGAAATGGCAGGAAGGGAGTCCTTAATGCGGTGTGAAAACTGAACAAAGGGAAATTTAGATGAGATATAAGAAGAAATTCCTCTCTGTGAGGGTGGTGAGGCTCTGGCACAGGGAAGCTGTGGCTGCCCCATCCCTGGAAGTGTCCAAGGCCAGGCTGGACAGGGCTTGAAGCAACTTGGGCTAGTGGAAGGTGCCCTGCCTACAGCAGATAGTGGGACTGGATGGGCCCTTCCAAACCAAAGGTCCCTTCCAAACCAAATTTTTCTATGATTCTATGAAAATGACGTTCCGAATCTATCAGAGAAGTCTCTGTGCTCTGTTTAACATAACAACAGTGCAAACATGGGAACAGGGAAAATGGTCTGAATATTCTCTTAAACCCTAATTAAATCAAAGTTTGTAGTTGCCTACTGAGCTTGTAGAATATTGTTGCTTCTTGACAGTTGTCTTAGAACTGGTTGGACATTGACAAACTCCAGTTAGTCTTGGATTCTTTTAGATGGTTTTGGACAAAGAGAATAACACAAGTATGTGTTCCTTCTAATTCCAGGGGGGAGAAATGGTTATGGAGCCAAACTGTGCAACATATTCAGCACAAAATTTACTGTGGAAACTGGATGTCGTGAATACAAAAAGTTGTTCAAGCAGGTAGGAGCACTTTTCTTTCCAGGGAGTTTATAACTGAGGTTTTCAAATGAGATCCTAAGGTTTTGTTTCAAGACTAGTTCAGTGTGATTTGAGTAAATTTGACCCACAAAATGTAATTCAAAGGAATAATGAAATTAGCAGACAGCATCAGAATCTGGTTTTTAACCAGAGTTTTTGTTTAATTCAAAGATATCTAAAACACATAAACCATCTTACTGCTTTTAAAGACTAAGGTAGTTATGTGTATTTGTGTGTTTGACTTGAAAGTCACCAAAGCTCCTTTCCTCAGACATGGACAGACAACATGGGAAAGGCTGGAGAAATGAAGCTGAAATACTTTGATGGAGATGATTACACCTGTGTCACTTTCCAACCTGATCTGTCCAAATTCAAAATGACTGTTCTGGATAAGGACATTGTAGCACTGATGTCTCGAAGAGCCTATGATATTGCTGGATCCACAAAAGATGTCAAAGTTTTCCTGAATGGACAGAGGCTTCCTGTAAGTGAGCATTGAAAAGAAACACAAATATCTGGGTTTGTTTTTTTTTTTGTGCCATTTAAACAGTGAGATTCTTTTGAGGCTATTCCTGTCATCACACAGAACAAAGGAACACATGCAAGAGGGATTTTTTTTCAGGAGAATGTGAATTAAGTATTTATAGGAGCTATTACCAACCAGTTGTCTGCTCTCATCTGCGTGCAGGTGAAAGGATTCCGCAGCTATGTGGACCTCTATCTGAAGGATAAGGTCGATGAAACTGGGAATGCACTTAAAGTTATCCATGAGGAAGTCAATTCCCGATGGGAAGTGTGCTTGACTTTGAGTGAAAAAGGCTTCCAGCAAGTTAGCTTTGTTAACAGCATTGCCACCACAAAGGTAACTCCTTAGTGTGTTTAGTCAAGCTAGTGCCATATTCAACATTAATATTCTTGGTTATTTGTAAGTGTACTTATGTTAGTGAAAAATGCTTTAATGTTGCGAGGAATGTGCTTAAAGTTTTAAATAGATATTTATAGTTTTGTGAGTTTTAGTGGCCTCAGTCCCAGGTCCTTGTCCCATTCTCCTCAGGGTGGCAGACACGTCGATTATGTGGCTGACCAGCTTGTGACCAAACTCATTGATGTTGTGAAAAAGAAGAATAAAAACGGAGTTGGAGTGAAGCCTTTCCAGGTACAATGTCAGAATTTTCCAGGCGGGGAACACAACTTGAGCATTACTGCAAATTGTAACTTCAGCTTAATGCATAGGTGCATTAATTAATATCACATTTTCATTCTGCAGACAATATATATAAGATTACTAATTACAGAAGTCTCATATTGTTTAAACCAATTAACTTCCCTTTGCTCGAGCAATGTGTTTTATAGTCCCTGTAAGTCAGTGTAGATGCACTAAAACTCAGTATCTGTTAGATAACACCTCTTGAGGTGGAGAGATGCCAATTCCTTGACATCCCAAGTCATCTAACACTGTTCATGAG